CTCCATGAGTTTTGAAGGTAACGACAGAAGAGCTACCGGCCGATAACTTGAAGGTTCATTGCGTCGAACACCTTTGAAAATTGGTGTGATGTGAGCCAACTTCCAATTTTCCGGTAATTTGGCTCGGCTAAGCGAGTGTGAGAACATCACGCTAAGCGGCGTTGCCAGGATTGAGGCTGCCTCCCTCACTATGGCAGGATGAACCATATCCGGGCCAGGAGAAGTGTCAAGTCTTAAGTGCTGCAGTTTCCGGAACACCAAGTCAGCGCTTAGGTCCACTTCAGAAAGTCCTGTGGAATTGCAGATGAAACTGTCGTCAATAAAGTTGATGTCAGCCGGTTGAAATGTTTGAGAGTAATGTGCCACCAGAAGGTTAGCGGCGTCGCCATCATTGTTGGTCGGGCCGTTAAGACCTAGGAGTTGAGAAACTCCTGTTTTGGCTTGACGAAGAGAGGCTGCGTAACGGAATAGGCTTCTAAGGTTAGAGGCGAACTTGTCCATAAGCTTTGTTTGGTACTGAAGCCTGTCTTCTCTTATAGCCTTCGTGCATATGTTCCTGATATGTTTATATTGCCTATACGCCCCATCGTTATTAGTTCGTTTGTATTCCGCCCAACAGTGTCTTTTGCGACTTAGCAGGCGAAGGGTACGGTTCTTGATTACTGTAGGTGGCTTGCAGCTTTTGGGAACCGTTTGAGGAACTGAATGGTCTGTAGCACATAAGAGCGTGTGCAGTAAGAAGTCCCAATGGCCATCCACATCGAGTTGAGGGTGAACATCCCAAACCACCTGTTGTAGATAGTCATGTAAAGCTGGCACATTCAGCCGTTTAAAATTCCAACGCAAATTATTGTTGGGATACCTTAGCTTAGTTTTGATGACAAAACTGAAGGCTATGACGGCATGATCGCTCTTTCCCAGAGGAGCCAGGATTGAGAGGTTGTCGACTAGGAATTCTTCGTTAGTGAATACACAGTCTAAGCGCGATGGTGTCTGACTGTTTCTCCAACGAGTTGCCGACCTCACATTTTCATATAAGCCCAAGTTATCGATGAGGTTGAAGAACCGAGCTTCAGTTGAGTTGTCGCCTCCAGTGTATGTGTGTTCCGCGAAGTTGACTCTAGGGAGATTAAAGTCCCCTAGAATCAGGATGTGTGTGAAACCGAGACGGATAGAGCGGGATAGTCCTTCCAGCATACGACTATCGTACTCGGTGTCGGCAGTTGGCTTCCTGTAAATGACTCCGACTAGACACCTGGAAGTACTAGACAACCTTACAGAGCACCATATGGATTCCTCAAGATTGTTAAACTCGAGGTTGTGAACCTGGTGCACCTCCAAGCAAGAGCTTATGTATATGGCTACTCCGCCCCCAATTCCTGTTTTTCTGTCGTTGCGGAATAAAGTCATCCCAGGTAATGCTAACTCTTGGTCCGAGAACTGAGATATCCAGGTTTCAGATATTCCTATCAGATGGGCCTTGTTAGCGTTGCTAAGTTCACGTAGCTCATCCAGTTTGTTTGGTAGACTCGCGGCGTTCATATATAAGCAGTTTATGCTTTCAATTTGGAACGCGTGAGCTTCGTCCTGTTTTTCTGTATGAACCTTATGTGAATGGACAGGTAGCCCACCTATATGAGGTTTGCCGAGGTGGTAGGCCCTGTCCTTTACACGTTTTTTTATCGTTTAGACAGTCCACAAGTGGAATGGTCAGCTCCAACTTGCCTTTGTTCTTGGTCCTGACTTCGTATGGCCTATCCGGGTGCATGTGGATTCCAGGTGGCAATCGACGTCTATTAGCACGAAATGCTTCCAGAACTGAAGCCGCCATGTGGGAAGATGGGAAGGTTATCTTCATTAGACGGGGTCTAAGATCACCGTCCTTCTTGGCTAGTCTCGTCACATGCTGAGTCAGTATGTGTTTGAGCCTCAAGGACTGTTTGATGAATTTCCATTCCCTGATGTCAGTCTTTGATTGAGTAGGGTCTGCATTTTCCGGTATACCTTGGACAATTATGTTTCTTCCGCGGAAAAACTCGCGAGATTCTTTAGGGACGTTTCGTATGATATTGCGCTCAGAGTACGGTATGTCGGGCAATATTCTTACGTTACCATCTGATTTCAGTAAGTGACTTGCTAGCAAGACGTCCTCTACGTCGGTAGCATTCTTAAGTGTTACTCGGAGAAGCCTCGGGTGATTTAGATGCTTAGAATCCTTTCCTCGGGTGAGCCGGGTGACCGTCAAAGGCTCTATTCTAGGAAGTTCGAGCTACTTGTTCAATTCACCCCACAGCATCCTGTCGTTTTTATCCTGCAGACTGAGAGGAAGGTCAGGATTGTCGACGAGGTTCATGATAATGAGAGAATCGTCACGAACTGTTGTTAATTTACCAGGTTTCACGATGGGTTCAGGTTTAATAACTTGTTGTTTGGAGGTCAGTGTGCGTTTATGAATCTTGGGCTCTTTATTGACCGGACGAACAGTCTTGAGGGTAGACTGTGCGACTAAATCACCAGTTATTTTCCGTGCAGCAACACTTGGGTTGCTCGGCTTAGGCGGTGATGCCTGGTTCTTTTGGGCTCTCTTAACGTGGGTCGAATCACCTGCAGGGTTTTTGGGAACCACTGTTGTGTTCAGGGACCCTGAGCTGGGAGACCCGAGTTTGCCTAGGGAGTCTAGTACCGTCGACGTAATGATGGTACTGAGCCTCGACACGTCGTCATTAGTGTTGATGGATGCTCCATCGATGGTATACCTATCGACATCCCTATTTTTGAGTCCGTTGCGCGCTCTTGTTTGTATATCGGTTTTTTTACTGTCGTGTTCCAAGTTAACTGACAGCTTGTTCCGAAGACCTGTCAGTAGGACAATGATGTTACTCAGCAAGACTACTGCGTCCGTGTTGCACGTGACACATACCCACTTTTGGTCTGACTTGCTGAGTCTGTTGTAAGCAGTTGCTGTCAGATTTGTGTATGCTTCGTGGAACCAACCTTTGCAGTTGTCGCACTGCATGCCAGTTGTGACAGCAAAACGGCATCCCGGACGTTTGCATGAGTTTTTCATGATGGTGTTGAAGCAAACTATGTTATAGATGCTTGCAAAAGCTTAAGACCTTTTTTTAAAAAAAAACACTAAAATGCACACTGAAAACGGACAAAAATGGACAAAACGAGTGATATAAACTGAAACTAGTCTATACGTTTAAAACAAAAAAACCGAATAGTAAGCTGAGGCAAAACCACAGGTAACTATTAAATATAGTGAAACTCAAAAAAAGTAATCTACCGAACGTATAGCTCAGGATAGATTCTTTAGAACTGAAATGGTACTTTTGTTGCGTAAGAACACAGCAAAAGTTTGATATATGCAAATCACGTTAGGACTAAACTTCCCGTTCGAAAAGCGCGCGTAACTCAAATCGTTATCTGTTTCTCGTGGTCTAGAGACAGATCGCTTACGAGAAATGCTTCTACGTGGTGTGCGCGATCTCTTATGATCGGTACGAAGACTAAGATAACGCGTGAGTGTGTGACATAAGTCGTTTATATCATTCTGAGTCGTTTGAGGTTCTTCTTTGACTGAAAATACCTCGGTAGTAGATTTCGTAATTTCTAAAATGCGGTCGGCAGATGCAGCTAGCTCGTCTAAGGCGTTGTTCTGGAACGAGACCAGAACTGCTTGCACCTGTTGGGGAAGTTTTGACAAGAAGAGTTGTTTGAATAGACCTTCGTCGAAAGTTCTTGGGCCTATTACCTCTCTCATCCGTTGCAACATGTCTGTCGCAGAACCGTGTTGCAGGTCGATATTGTTGAAGAGTTGATCTAACCTTTGTCGATCGGTTAGGTCTCCTCGTTTAAGAATCGAGCGTTTTAAGATTTCGTAAGGATCGGAAACATCACTAGTAAACATACTAGGTGTTACGTACCTGTTGAATTCGCGCGGTAGTGCCTTGACTACTGCGAGGAATTGTGCACGTGTGTCGATCACGCCGTGCTCGGAGAAGTCGGCTTCTGCGTAGCAAAACCAGGCTTCGATGTTGTCGGGCCAGAAAGGCATCAGTTGAAACGAAGGCGGGGACAAAGTCTTAAGCTTGAGTACTTTAGGTGTCTGTTCAGTCATGATGAAGTATGAAGTACGATAATGAACAAGGGGAAAATATATATATCCAGGAAAAAACACGAAAAAAATCACAATGTTTGAAAAAATTAAAAAAATAAGGCAATGATATATAAAAATCCCAAAAAGGAACAGACTCACAGTTGCAATTAGGTGTACCAGATCACGTCGGGCTCACCAATGATGATGTCACAGGTATTCAGTGTTTGACAACGCTTCTACCAGTAACACCTTCTAATATATTTCGTTCCCACCCAGAGAAATCAAAAGACAGAGTCGAGGAGATCGGAAGAGTATATTTGGCGATGACCAATATATCGGAATTCTCTGATCTAATCTGGCTAGCGATTGCGGTTGATGTTGAGCACGGCGTTACCACACGTGATCTGGTGCGGATGCATGACCGAGCGCCTTCAGCTAGATGAGTCCACTAAAACATATGGTCAGCATCCAATGTCGAAAACTTAGTGCTATTTATTTTGGGGATTTATTTACCGCTACAGCACTATCGAATTAAGATTTTACTTGTTTCAGTACAATAGGTGCTATTTAAGGAGGAAGGTGCAACTTTAAAGCACACTTGTTATGTGACATTTCCAAATTCGTGTAAGTTAATGATTCATACACATTTGGAGAATTGAAAATTGTGTAGTGATTCTTATCAACATTAAGTTCCTTTACGGACTTCATGAGACTTTGAATAAACTGTTGTATTGCTACTTTCAAGAAAAAATACTACAAAGCAGCGAGCAAAAATTATTTAAAATGTCATCCAGCAACAGGCTATCAAGATATAATAACACCAGAAAAACATGAGATTCTACACGTGTTCAAATGCTGAATGCATTAAATTTAACAACTCAAGGTCGTTGGAACGAAAGAGCGGAAAGGTTCAAAGGCATATTATATTACTTCTGTGCAAAGTCTAATTTAAAACAGTAAATCTTGAGTATGACTGAGTCGACTGTTGGCTCAACTGGTAGTCTTTGTGAAACACCGATTCAATGGCCAATGACGAAGGCCTCCTATGAATTCGGAAAATCTATTGGTTTGTTTTTAGCCTTACCTTACAATGAATTCAGGTCAGGGTGCTACTTCTACTGTGTTTGAAGCTCTTTGTCCCTCGAATGGAAAGAAATGTGCTATCAAAATAATAAATCTTGAAAAATGCAGCACATCCGCATCGTTAGAAGAAATAAACGTAAGCTGTAACTTCAGTTTTATCCATAATTCGATTAGAGAGAAATAAAATCCATGAAGAACATGAAAAACGAGAATATAGTAGCATACTATGCCTCCTTCGTTGCCCAGACAGAACTGTGCATAATCATGGATCTATGTCAAAGAGGTTTGTAAACTTATTTTGTAAACATTTTTATGATTGGTAGTAATTGTAATGATTGGTGGTGTGTACTTTATCCACTTGCAATGATAATAGTAATAATGCTTGTTCTACTTGACGATATATGCAGTAGGTAATTTCCAACGTGATTTTTTCAACTGGATACATCTGTCCAATAGCTGTAATATGTTTTTAGATCCTTAAGATGTGTAATTTTTGGTTGGACCATAATTTATGGACGATCTTTGAGCAACGCAATTCAGGACGTTACTCGACGAGTTGTTTGCGAAAAGTAATGGATATATTCGTCTCATAAAATAGATGACTAGTATAACACCAGCAAAATATCGTGCCAGTGGCATCGCTCTTTTAATTTATTATAAGTCATATAGGTCTAACCTTTCCTGTAACATTCTGTATCCATATGTCAGATCTTCTGGTTAGACGTGGATAGCTAAAAGGTTGATTTCCTTGTGATAATACTTTTAGATATTTCATATCTTAAAGTAAAAATCCTTTGCACTATTTTTTCAAGCTTGCTTTGACGCTGATCAGTGGGAGTCGACTGACGATATGGAATATAATAACAAAGTCAGTGAGACTCATAAAGTAGGAGCCATGCAGACCAGATAGAGTGATTTGCAAAACATTAAGAAATATTTGAACTGGTCTTCAACTATACTTTAGCCACACTACTCATTAACAGTCTGAATATAAGACGAACGTCTTCGGGGTCTGAAAAGATTTCAACTTACGTGTAGCAAGAGTTTTGGTTTAGGTATATTTAGAGATAATTGTTTATGTTATGAGGCAGTGGATCAGTTGTTAAATCAATTGGGTATCTTCGTAATCCACTGTACATACTCCGACTTGAACAACTGATTAATATCGTTAGCTGTCGAATAAAGTGTGACTTCAATTTGGGTACATGTACTTGACTAGTATGCTACATGAATCTTAGTTATAATTTAAGGATAACTTGTGATTCCGTTTTTTTGCAGTTCATAAAAAAACCAGAATCTTCCTATTGTAACCATAAGGGAAAGATATTCACTTTTAAATGGTTTTTTATAGTCATTTGACGCTCAACTGGATCTAGAGGAACCGAAGTAAGGCTTGTACCTGGTTGTGGGTATATCAATCAAGTGATTACTTTATATCAGGTTCTAGAAAACTGATTTTTTTTTATCTGTGACTTCGATTGAAATGTATAAATTTTTCATGGACATACACCTAGGGACAATTTTCCGTATTCTCAGAAATTAATGTATTTCTTTAAGACCCCCTCATCACCTTTAAATACACAAACAAGATTGTTTAATGAGAATTTTGATATGATGCGGTATGAGAAACACCTAGAGTGAATATAAAAGATGTCAATATGTCCGTCATCGATGCTTCATGATTCTTCCGAATCATTATTTAGTTTGACAATAAAAATTGTATCATTCAAGTAGGTTACATTAATCTTAAGACAAGGGTAGCTGTCAAAGTACCAGCATTTATGTAAAAAGTAGTTTGGATTTTGCCGGACTAAACCATATGTTACCCTAGCAAGATGTCTATGTACAGATATAAATAATACAACTGATTAGGATTACTGTACGTGTACCATAACCCTCCAAGATAAAACTGGGCGCCATTTGTGAGTATTTGGTGAAGTGTTTTTGAAGCATTTCTCACTTAATATAAAGTCTCCCAAAGAGTAACGTTAACGCTAGATTCAATGTATTAGTTAATAAATAGGTTGATAAGATTGTTATCCTTCATCAACTGAAATGGCTGGAGCAAGTTAACCAAACTTATCCACATAGGGGGATTATAGATAAAAATTATCAGACGTTTAGTTTGACTAAACTACTTTGTCTTAAACTATATGCTTATAATAACCATGAAATACCAAACTTTCAAATACTCTGATTAGCCTTTGCTCTGAGATTGTTAGCGAAACAATCTCAGAGAAAGATGGACATATTATTCATTCTCAATCCAGGAGATTGGATCGATGGGCGGAACACTTTAGGGATCAGTTCAACTGGCCTTCAGTCACACTTCGGTTTCCCACGATCTCTAGTCAACCTGAATGGCAAGTTAATGTAGGTCCTCCGTCTCTTTACGAAGTTGAAAAAGCCATAGGAAATCTGAAACGAGGGAGAGCAGCAGGCCCTGACAGGTTTACTCCTGAGATTTTTAAGGATGGTGGTCCAGTATTAGCAATGAGATTAACCGAGGTCTTAGGTAGAATTTGGGAACTGGACGTAATCCCATCTGACTGGTCTCAATCACTGATTTTGCCAGTTTTTAAGAAAGGACAAATGTCCTCTTGTGACAATCACAGAGGAATCAGTTTGACTAATAGTGTCTAAAATATTAGCCTCAATAATAATTCGACGCCTGATCAAAGCTCGTGAAGAGCAGATTAGAGAAAACCAGGCCGGTTTTCGACCTGGACGTGGTTGTATAGATCAGATATTCACACTACGTCAGGTTCTAGAACACAGACACTCGTTCAGACGCCTCACAATGGTAGTATTTCTCAATCTTAAGGCGGCATTCGACTCTGTAGATCGTGAGGTTCTATGGCAGTGTTTGTCACTGAAAGGAGTACCAAAGAAGTACATTAACCTTATAAAGACTCTCTACTCGAACACGACTGGTCGAGTGAGAGCTTATGGCGAACTGTCATCAGAATTGATTACCTCAAGTGGTGTTCGTCAGTGCTGTCCACTCTCCCCATTCTTGTTCAACTTTGTCATTGACGTACTTTTAGAGATAACACTCTCCTCATCTAAATTTACAGGGGTTGAACTTCTACCGGGAGGTTCACTTGTTGACTTAGAATATGCTGATGACATACTTTTATTTGGTGAAGACGCTGACAAAATGCACAGTCTTCTGACCACTCTAAGCAACAATGCAAACATGTTCGGGATGCGATTCTTTCCCTTGAAATGCAAACTGTTGCTTCAGGATTGGGTTACATCGACACCCGAACTAGTGATAGGGAGTGAAGTAGTTGAGTGTGTCGACCGCTTCACTTATCTTGGAAGTCTCACCAGCCCTTGTGGTCTGGTGTGTGACGAAATCTCAGCACGGATACAGAAGGCTCGAATAGCTTTTGCCAACTTGCGTCATTTATGGCGTAGGCGATATATCCGTCTATCAACCAAAGGACGTGTTTACTGCGCAGCAGTTCGTCCCGTCCTACTTTATGGCAGTGAAACATGGCTGGTAAGAGTAGAGGATATTCGTAGGCTACTAGTATTTGATCATAGGTGTCTTCGAAACATTGCTCGTATATCATGGGACCATCGAGTAAGTAACACAGTTGTTAGGAAACGGGTACTAGGTAAGGATGGCAAATCAATTGATGAAGTAGTGAAACTTCATCAGTTGAGATGGCTCGGACACGTGTTACATATACCCAACGACTGACTGCCTCGACGTTCGATGTACAGTGGTATAGGAGTAGGTTGGAAGAAAGCTAGAGGCGGCCAAACCAAAACATGGCACAAGTCCATGAAGTCATTGACAAATGAACTGAGTGAGCCATGTTGGTAGGTGTAGACTACCTGGTTGGGGACCACGAGATGATAGCAACCGATGGTTAGAAACCCTGAATGACATGGCTCAAAATCGTTTGCAATGGCGCAGGTGCATCCACTCTTTGTGTTCTCCCAGATTCTAATCTTCTGAATTCTCCATGTCCCTTTTTTCCTCTTTGCAAATTTATTTCACTGGATTATACTATTTAAATAACATCTCCAAACCCTAATCTTCCCTATTACTGCTTATACTCTTGCTACCTCTACCACTACGGGATTTGAATCGACAACTGCATCTCTGTGCTAAGGTGGTGTGGCAACTCGAACTGATGTACGTACGTACGAAGTTCTACGTTGTTACTGACTGACTGTATATAATATAGTATATTGTATTAAGGAGGCTTAGAAAAAAAGTTGAGAGTAAATAAACTATGACATTGTTGAATTCCTATCTCCCTCCAGTATGATGGAACGATATTGATGCTAGTGAAATATATACCCTGTTTACTTTGTATATATTTTATCGACTGATCTCTCTAATAATAACGTAGATATAAAAAACAAAATTCGATAGTGTTTGAGGGAAAATATTTCAGATATTCGGCAGCGCAGACGAACGATAAGAGACAAAACTAAATACATGTGAACTTTAGTGGTCGAAATAGTCAACTCATTGAATGATGGGTGACTCTGTACTTACAAGCATGAAAGTGATTTAAGCAAGTAGGTAGACACATACGTACCACCATGCACACATCCTCAAGGTCACATTTATAAGTGACAGAATGACTAGAAATGTTAAGATAATTCATCCGTCCTATGTTTATTCTTTTGGAATAAATCACGTAGGCGTGTAACAAAACTAATTGCCACAATGGTACCAGTTTATAAAATCACTGACTTAAGTGGTGTGGGAATGGTTAGTCTTTATGATCAGAGTTCTGAATATAGTAAAAATTAGTGGCTGGACTTCTTTCAAAGTAATGAAATCAGTGTATCTATTCCTTATCTTCTAAATCTCCGTTCATTTCTATTCTTTTCCGTTTCTTCCATCTCTCCCGACTTTCCATTTTTATACTCCTGTCATATATGACAGCTAGATTTATTGCATTTTTCTGTGTTTATTTATGTTCGTGTCTGTTGTATACTTGTGCCTACATCACCTCTTCTACATTATCGTTAATCACTTAAAATATGATCGCATTAAATGTTAATTTATTATTCCACCTAGATCATAACTTCACTAAAGACCTTTCGTAAAAAATCATTTAGAACTTAATTTTAGTGTATGTGTATTAGTCTTCTAAAACCGAGCCAAAGATGATTTGCATATAATTATCCCTTATCTATCGTTCGAGTTCAGTTGTGTTCGTTATTATGTAGAATTCAATGAATTAAAAATTGTAATTTGACATTTAATTTATTCAATATTTCCATCGATCAACATGAGTAGTTGGTAAGTATTACCTTTAACACCGGTAATCTGCACTAATTTATACCAAACGTTTCAGTTAATCAATATAAACTTATCGTAGTAAAAAGGTTAAAGCCTTCAGCTTTCACCCACTACGCCACAGTTTCAAAAATCATTCTACTTGCTTCAGCTTGTGGAAACCACCAAAATCACTGGCTATTACACTCAGTGCCGACAGACTGGAAAGAAGGATAACTCATCAAAATACCAAAGAAAGGAGATCTGAGCAAGTGTGAAAACTACAGAAGCATCACACTAGTATCGGTACCATGAAAAGTCCTCAACATAGTACTGTCTGACTGGATGAGAGATTCAATAGACGCTCACCTTCGAGATCAACAGACAGGATTCCGTAAGGATCGATCGTGCACAGACCAAATCGCCACACTATAGATCATCTTTAAACAATCAATTGAATGGAATTCGTCACTATACATCAACTTCCTTGATTATAAGAAGGCATGTGACATCGTCAATAGGAGTACATTATGGAACCTTGTTCGAAACTCACTAGTGGGTAGCTGCGATAATCGTCAACATCAGACAGAATTCACATGACGGACTACACTGCAAAGCCGTGCATGGAGGACAGTTGACAGATGCATTCCAAGTAAGGACTGGAGTCAGACAAGGCTACTTACTCTCACACACATTCTCTCTATTTCGTTTTTCTCTTTCTTCTGATGGTTGACTGGAATATGTATATCTGCACATCTCAGCTAAAGCATGGAATACAATAGAAAGCTTGGATGCAAATAGACGATTCAAACTTCGCAGATAAACTGACCCTTCTAGCAAACGCAAATCAACACAATCACTGTAACAACAGCCTCTACATCCGTAGGCCTCAATATACACACAAGGGAAAAATCGACATCCTCAAATACAACACAGAAAACATCAACTCAATCATACTTGATGGAGAAATTCTGGAAGAGATGGAGACTTTCGCGTATCTGGGTAGCATTGTCTATGAGCGTGGAGGATCCGATGCAGACGTAAAGTCAAGGATTAACAAAGTAAGGGTAGCATTCCTACTATTCGAGAACATATGGAACTCAAAACAACTGTCAACCGACATCAAAGTAACAATCTTCAATATGAGAGTCAAGTCAGTTAGTTCTAATGTACGGAGTTGAAACTTGGAGAACTACTACAACTATCATCAGAAAGGTACAAGTATTTCTGAACAATTATTTACACAAGGTACTCAATTTCAGTTCGCCAGATACTATCAACAACAGCCTACTGTGGAAACGAACAAATCGACTTCCAGTTGAGGAGGAAACTACCAAAAGTCGATGGAGGTGGATAGGACACACATTGAGGAGATCATCAAACTGCATCATGAAGCAAGTCCTAACATGGAATTTTGAAGGTAAATGGAAAAGAAGAAGGCCGAAGAACATACTGCACTGAAAATTGGAAGCAGACATAAATAGGATGGATATCGACTAGAAAGGATTGCTCAGGACAGAGTTGGGTGGAGAATGGTGGTGAGTGGCCTATGCTCTTCCATGAGGGGTAACAGGCGTAAGGAAGTAATCGCCCTTAGTGTATGTTGTGGCAGCTTGAACCAATGTACATATATCTCAGGTTCCACGTTGCGTTTGAGAGGCTGTGTATTTTGAGATTAAGTACACTAGTCTGTACACCTGGTAAATGAACAATAATAATAATAATAATAATAATAATAATAATAATAATAATAATAATAATAATAATAATAATAATAATAATAATAATAATAATAATCTTAGTGCAGGAACGCTTACTAGATAAATACAATCAAAGTAATTGTGTATTATCAGCCACCATTGATGTGGAGATTTTGTGGGCTTGTGGGGTACACCCATTTTGGGCGCCCTTAATAATCTCTTTACGGTCTTAAATATATCTCTTTCGTTGAGTAAGATTGTCTGTCTGTTGACCTTTTCTGTTAATTTTGTGTTTGTTAACCGGTTCGATAAACGTTTCCTGATGAAGTCTGGGTAGCGATTTTCTCAAGGATGTAGTCATTCGCCAGATTTGATTTGATGGTAGGTAATAAAGCTGTTGCGTTGGAAGATATAATCGCTTCGACTTTGGTGATTTTAATACCTTGAATGTCAGATAAAAATTGTATTAGAGTGTCGATAGTGTAATTATATGAGTTCATCATACATACTTCAATATATCTGATGTTTCTTTTAAAATACTAACTGTATATGTGGTCTTTAAATCAAAATAATAATTTTCTCTATAGGATCATTGTTGGATGTTATCAAGTATACACAAAATAAACGAGATATCACTTACGGTGTATTCGATGAAAATACAATTGCTACCATTCTTCGTGATGTCCTACGTGGATTGGCGTATATTCATGAAAATGGTTTAGTTCATCGGTGAGCATTTCTAATTAATATTAATCTACTAGCTACCATTCGATTTTATTCTTAAGTAAGAAAATGACAAGTGACTATAATACTAACTGTAATATGTAAAAAAATATTAAAATAACTTCTTGTCTCACATAAAGTCATAGTTTCCTCCGAAAAATAATTTATTCATATATATATGTTTTGCTCAGTCAACTGCTTTGTACTTTTTTTCGGCTGAATATTGACTTTTATATTCTTATCTATTTTACATTATAAATGATTTCAATAAATTCTCTCTGAATTTTAAGTTTCATGATCTCAAAATTAATCAAAAGTGTACGGGGCTATGTTGTAATGATACTTGAGTGAAAAAGTATGTAACCAGTAGTATGTCTCAAGTTCGAACCCCACTCACCCTACTTTGGTTCAGGGAGCCGGTTTGAGTATCACTAGTCCTCTAAAACAGTTTGCTTTAAAACAGTACTTAGACCTGTATACTTGGTAAATGAGTGGCACTACTCCATGGAGTTATTGACCGTTGATCTAGACCATATTGGTAGATGCAGCCTACTTGTTTAGAGTTCACATAATAACCACGAGCAGCGATGGTGACGTTTTATTTATTATCTATTTAAACACAAACATAGGTACAAGAAGTCGCCAAATAGATATACGCCACATAAATCATTCGATTTGTGTGAGGGCTAGGATACTGCTCGGGTGCCCAAACCGAAGCAGGTGGTTTTCTTAGGGAGCCACATTCCTAACCTTTGACCTAAAGGTCTAATCTACAAGGCATTGTAGCAAAGTCAGGAGATTCAGTCCCATGGTTGCCAGTGACCAATGATTGGTTCATACTCTATTTGTTCCCTCAGGATCCTGGAGCCCATGTACACGACTGGTTGGGAATCAGAGTTTTCCAACTCCCCTAGGTGGATCCTTTATGTGTGACACCGAACGGAAATCGCTAGGGTGTAAATATGACTCTTTTCAGGAAGTCTTACGGTATATAGAACCTGAAATCGTGTCTTGTTATTGTCAAATTCAGAAAATTCTCTCTGCTTTTTTTGTACTTCACTCTCGTATGTGAATTTTTTATAATTTAGATGAGGCTAATTGAAACGTCTAGATATTTGGTCAATGTGATCTCTTTCATCTTATATTATGAAAGTATCAAATACAATAATGTTTGCTTTTAATTATATCTTGTTTAGCGTTTTCTAGTTGTGCTTGAAAAATATCATCGAATATAGGACCGACCTGTTTATCCATAGTTTCTTTTTCACTAAATTGGGACTGAACATTTTTTTATGCATGACAGCAATCTTTCTTTGAGAAATCAATCCTATTAGCGTGATTCCATAGGATATCCATAGTTTCTTCTAGTGGGAATTTGGAAAATGAAGATTTCCTATCAAAACAAATCATATACTTTCTGTTTAAATGAATACCATTAATTCTATTAACGTTACTAAAACTATCTTTTGAACTATGTGCGCTTGTATAAGATTTAAAACACACAAAATGAATTGAATTCACATACCTCGCAATGTTCATTGTTTTTTTTGTTTTACAGTACATAGTTTATTGCTGAAGGCTACATCTTCAGTTAAATAAGAAAAAGAGTATTCAGCGAAGGAAATGTTCTTTTCAACGAATTCTCTTTTTCTTAAATCAGTATTTATATGACTGAAACTCTATGCTTAAACTATGTCACTAGATAGTCAATTTAAATGATTAGTTTATTGATATGGAAAATAAATTAATTCTAGATTCTTATCATACTTAACCAATTAAATTTTGTTTCCTTTGATTCTGTTGTTAAATCCAATAAATGGCAATCAATAGCTTATGAACCCATCTCTTGTTATATAGTTTTAGTGAACTTCATTATTTATATACTATCCAGTGAATATTTTCAAGATTCTTATTTGATAGTTTATGAGAAACGTTTACTGTAACATCAATCTACGTATTCTTACATTTCTATGTTAAATCTTACAGTAACATTTGAATGACGGATACCATCGGGATAGGTTAAAAGAAGATTAGAGGAGTCGAAGTCTGTCTGTTAGTCATTTGCAACGTAGAATGTGGTATGTGTATACATCAATTCAAGTTGTCATACCCCATTAGCACAGCGAGAGTAAATTGTTAGGGCGAATCTCATAATAGTCGAGGTAATAATAGTATCAATATTAATAGGAAAGATTAAGTATCCAAGATACAATCCAAGAAAATATAAATTATTGAAATAGAGAGGACTGAGCATAAAATTTGGAAAAGGATGAAGAGTGGATGCACCTGCGCCATTGCAAACGATTTTCAGTCATGTCATTCAAAGTCATCAACCAATGGTTACGATAATCACGCGAACCCCAACTAGATAGTCTACATCTGTTAACTTGGCTCAGTTCATTTTTGAGTGGCTTCATGAACTGATGGCTAGAAGTGTCTAAATCCGAGATATCCTACCAGTAGTGCATGATACTATTGGTTGGTGGTTAAGATCATGTCGAGTGATGCAGGATTCTTGGTTAGTTGAAATGTTAGGTTATCTACCACCAACTATCGGTCATAGTAATGTAGCTGCATTCATTAACTCCCTGTAAACGTTAAGCATAATGTCACTTCCCATACTATATGATCTCATTTGTCTTTCTAAAAACATTATTTCCAATTGCATTGTTTACATTGAGGATTGGTATTAGTTAGACAACTACTGAAAATCAGGAAGTACTGGACAACTGTTTTGTCTTATCACGGGATTGTTTACCAGTGTACATATACGATTCTATTGAGGAACGAACCCAGGACATTCGTATCTCGTTGCACAATACCCCTAATCGATCGAAGTTGGAAATGTAAACCGTTGGATGATCCACCCGAAACCTGAATGTTCTAGGTTCAATCCAGGATCTTGTCATGGATGTGCACTACTGACGAGTCTAGCAGTAGGGAACAACTATCCAGTGTTTCTGAGCTTTTAGTAGTTCAACTAAATTCATCCCCCAATATAAATTATAAAATCCAACAATCTCTACAACTCTTCCCTATACTGATAATATTTCAAATGTTTATTTTTGTACTGCTATTAATCTCCTGTCCCACCCTCATATTGATGTGTTAGGAAAAGTAAATCGAAACATACTTGTACCGGATCTTACGTCAGCTATCACTAAGTATAGATATGTAATAAAAAAACAACGTTATAATATAAACGTTTTTGACAGCTTTTTTTTTGCATAGGAACACATTGAATATCAACTTGCTTCAGTTGTTCGTGTGCACAAATGATCAGGCTACATTTTTCATAGCTGGATAATGTCAACTCGTTTACTGATATTAATTCTTTAAAGTCTGATTGACATCCATACTTCTAACGACACTCAAGATCACTGTATTCATAATCAACCTCCCTCTTCAATTTCTATGATTGAAATCCATGTACATTATAGTAGATGACTTGATAAAGCATCTCTGTTTTTCTTGTTTTTGTTTTGTAAAGAATGTCAGCTTTATTACAAGGTGAAATCATTCTTTTTCTCAGTCAGTCAGTCAGTAACAACGTAGAACTTCGTACGTATGTACATCAGTTCGAGTTGCCATACCACATTAGCACAGAGATTCTTTTTCACAAGTTTTTACTCATTCGATTAAATATCATAATATAACATAAATTTGTATAAGTTAATTTATTTCTTTTTTATTCTATATACCTATTTCACTAAAATATCATTACTCTTAAATACAGCGATCTAAAATGTGGTAATTTATTAGTCAAAGATGATGGAATCATTCAAATAGCAGATTTTGGAGTTGCTGGATTTTTAGCTACTCAACCGCTTACTGCAACTGGTAGTGTTGATTTAAGACGGTATACATTTGTTGGTACACCTTGTTGGATGGCTCCGGAAGTTATGCAACAAGTACGAATAATGATTATTACTTTTTTCTCTCTCTCTCTCTCACCTTAATAACATTTAATTTACAATTATTAATTACTATATATGTGAATTTTAATTTGATCATTTCAAGTTTTTGTTACATAAAACTGTAATGTACACTGTGTTGTCAGCATCGACTCATCATGAAATGTAAATAGATGCCTTTTTTACCCTTAAAAAAGTAGTAAACTGAACTCCAACATCATAAAATATGAGTAGTAGCTTTAGAGAGAAAATATTTTTCTCATGGCCTACATTTCAACGCCTCATATTCACCTACTTATCTAATTATCAGTGTACTTTATTTTATTATTTATTTTAACACATAGATATTGGTACAAGGAGGCACCAAGTACATATGCACCACACAAATCTCATTTGATATGTGTGAGGGCTGTGATACTGCTTGGGTGCCCAGACCGAAGCAGGTGGTTTTCTTAGGGGGCCACACCGCAAGCCTTCGACCTAATGGTCTAACCCACAAGGCAGTGGAGCATCGTGAGGAGATGCAGTCCCATGGTAGCCGGTGACCAACGATTGGTTCATACTCCATTCGTTCCTTCAGGATACTGGAGCCCATGTGCACCATTGATTTGGTTTGGGATCCGGTTAAAGCACCGGACATTCGCTTTTCGTCCTCTCATTTTCGTAAACAACAGCAGTGCCACGAGAAGGCAGTGAGTAGGACTTCGCTGGCAGAGGCTATATACGCGTGGCCGTGTGAGAACATTTCGAGAGGGAGAGCTGACTCTCAACACTCTCAGCCGTACCAGGGCATTTGGGGGCTTATCAGTATACGGATTGTGGAGATTATTAAGTTTTTGATTGAGATCATGAACCGATTGATGTTAGACCACCGTTGAAAACCTGGAAGCACTGGACGGTCATTTCGTCTTATTGTGGGACTCCTCGGCAGTGCGCCTTCATGATCCCCCTCACGGGATTCGAACCCAGAGCCTTCAGTCTCGCGCGCATACGTTTAACCTACTGGACCACTGAGCCGGCATCTAATTATTGAATCACAACCTTTTTTATTGATTTCTTATTGAAACTGCACCATCGTTGTCTGATTCTCGCTCTTTCTAATTATAACCAACCAAATTGCTTAACAAACCAAAAATATAAAAAATTTTTTTCAAAATACAATGACTTCATTGTATTTCATTATCTTCTCTTCAGCTACATATACATGCTCATATGTTTCATTATTTCCTATGATTAAAATGATGTTCCAACAACAACAACAACAACAACAACAAAATGAATTATCAATAATGAATAGGTTATGTGGAATATAAACCATGTTAAAAATCCGAGTTTTTAACACTTTTTCGGAAAATAACTATTTAGAATGATAGTTCTAGAATAATTACTATAATATTATTACATAATATGATCAATTTGATTTAATAAGTATGGAATGAAAGTGAAGATATATGAATTTCATCTATTACAATCCGATTATAGTTTATTAAAAAAAAAAGAAGGAAAAGGGGTCGAAATGCTTAATTAACTTTTGTGTACCAAAAAAGTTGTAGGTTAATCATTTGCTCTTTTGAAACACAGAAGTTAGAATTAACCTTTCTGGTTGCTACGATCTCTACAAATAAGATAAAACTAGACTATTTATTGATTACTTTGAACGCGTTTGGTGTTAACGTTATCGCATGTGTCTAGCAGGTGTCGTACTATTGAAATACGGGGCCTGTTTTTACCTGGAAGACTTAAGGTCCTAGGAATACGTTTAGCAAAGCAAGTTGAGACCAGTCTTTATTTTCTTCCGATGTACATTCTTTTGTGGATGTATGTAAATTGATGTACGCAATAGTAGACGACTTATGTTGGTTACCAGTCTACTTTTATTTGTATTACTGAGGCTAGTGTATGCAGTGAACCAATGTAGCAGGCGAAAATATGCATTTTAAGACTTCTTGGTTTTTAATTAATTTTATTCTTGATTTGATCCCCTTTGCATGACATTCATATAAAAACTTGTTTCTTTTCGGGTTTGTACACTTTCACCTTATCTTGGTATTCGGTAATACACTTCTTTTAAGTTGATTCAAGACATCAGTTTTCACACCGATAATATTTTATTTCCATGCATTCTTCCTCAAGTTTTTCTTGTGAAGAAAATTTTCTGGCTCTGTGGTAGAGCGTTTTCACCAACTCGTATTTTTCGATATATATACCCTTATTAGGTTCTATAATTTCTTCAAGAGATGTTCCATCGCAAATTTAATATTGGGGTAGACTTTATCAAAGTTTTCTCATATTTGATTTGCCTAATTCATATTGCTACACAGAGCAAAATTATGTTCAGCGTATCTTACATAAAGTTCAGTTTCATTGATAACTGACAGTAATCTTTTCTTCCCCAAGTTGCTACAAATATATCTACAAGCATTGGGGCTAAAGAACTTCCTATAGTGACACCATCTATCTAAAGGTATAATTTATTGTTACGTTGTGCACAATCTGAGCAGTTGCTTGAGTTATATTTATGATATGAATATACAGACGTTGCAAGTATTGACTAATTATGTTAATTGTTTCTTTCATGGGGATTAATGGTGAACACTGAAGCTATATCATATGAAACTATAAGTTTATTTGATACATCTATTTGTTCTATTACTTCTGCTAAACCAAAAATGTCCTTCACACTGTATACAGCTAACTCAACGAAGTAGTTCTAGATTATTTGTTAACTTATAATTATCTTTTGTAAATAGATTCTAAACAAACCACAAAATAAACTAGAATCCGTTTAAAGAGCTAATACACACACGATATTCCTTGAAACAAGATCGAATTCGAGGACTTTTGGGTGTTTCGATGAGTAAAATTCTGTATATTCCTTAAGTTTCCGAATCTAAATAACTCAAACTTAGGAGCTTCGACCCATTCATGATTTAACACACATAATCTATTACCGTCGATGGATAAGAACTATATTACTGTTGAGGTGATTAATTGCATAAAAATTATGGCTTCTTACTCTCGTACGTCGGAATTATTTTACAGGAAGAAAGTTATTATTTAGGCACTGGATTAGTTAGATGACTTGGCGATTGGTTTTATCATCCATTGACATCAGTTCAGGTACCATTGATGTGTTGATTCTGAACAATGCTCACATTTGATTACTTCATCACGGGTGGAATACGCACTACTTCTAGGTCTCACAACGAACAATTGACTTTTATATTACCTAATTGGAATCTGACGATTAGTATTTTCAACTTCAATGAATTTGTAAAAGAGCATGACGATCATTCCATCCATTATTTGATGAATAACTCAATCTCAATATGAGTTAACTTCATCCGTGATAGCCCCTCTCATATGAACCTCGATAACTTATTTCATATTAAGATAGTTTTTAATTGTACCACTGTTTATTTTGGGCCCCATAAAACTTCTACATGTTACATAGATGTTAAATTGTCTATTTCTCCTGATTATAATTTCAATTCAATAAAATGATGTAATTTGATTATTTCCAGGCTCGTGGTTACAATCAAAAAGCAGATATATGGTCATTAGGTATTACAACTATTGAAATGGCAACTGGTCAAGCTCCTTATGCAAAATTTGCACCAATGAAGGTAATTTTTATCGAGGTTCCTTGTATCATAATTTTATAATTTATTTATTATGTAATTCTTATTAATCTAAAAAAGGTATCAGGTCGTACCCTTATGAACCCATAATTATTCTATTACAATGCCCAAAATAAAGCATACATACTACTAAATAAATTAAACAATGTTAAAATTATTATGTTTTGTATCAGTTAAGATATCAACTGCATCAAAAATATGTCCATTGTAAATTTAAAACATCATTTCGGAAAAGGTAGGAAATTTCATTCATTGTACTATGTCTAGTTGTAATTAATGTATTAGTAAGTTAGGGGCGGCCAAACCAAAACGTGGTATCAGTACATGAAGTCACTAACTTTTAATCGTAGCCATGTCGGCGGAACAAGCACTATTAGAGTGGATCCCCGTTAACAGTCGCTTATTTGCTGTTCGGACACACGTTGTTGCCTTTTTGTCGTTTCTGCCTACGCTCCCACCGACTGCAACTTGGATAAAGGAAAAGATGGATTTTACAGAAAGCTATTTGAACTTCTTCAGAAAGCTAAACGTTCAGACATAGTACTCGTAGCAGGTAAATTTAATGCCAAGATAGGTGGCTTAAACCAAACAGAAAGAGTATTTTAGTATTCCGGCACAGCGAACAGATAATGGTGATCGTCTGCTGCAACTGTTCTCTGACAATCGTTTACTTTTAGCAAACACAAATTTTAAGCATAAGGAGAGACTTCGTCTAACATGGCAACCCCCTGCACCAAACCAACGATGGACTCAAATAGACCATATTGCCATCAGTCATCATTGGAGAGGATCGATAGAAGATTGACACTCATTCTGGGGTACCTGCCTGGACTCCGACCATGCCCTAATACGGGCACGCATCTGCTTGCGCCTCACTGGACGCAAAAAAGCCACACTTAAAAGACCCATTAGAACTGAATTGAGTAGCGAGAAAACCAAAAGTAGGTTCCAGGAACAACTGAGGTCACATTTAGGTAGTTCTGAGAACGAGGCTGACCCAGATGTTGCTCGGAAAGACAAACAGTTGTGGAAACAGCAGTGACATCTATCAGTTATTTAAACCACAGGGTTACAAAGAACCAATGGAATTCTTCAATGTCTATTGCACTGATGGATTCTCGTAAACTCATCTCATCAGGTTCCGAACATGATGAAGAGCGAAAACAAATCAGATCTAGGTTAAGAAAAAGTCTAAGGAACGACCGTGAGCAGTGGTGGGCAATGAAAGCAAAATAGATGGAAAAGGCGGTGGCTATAGGGAACACAAGACTGCTCTACAGACTAATAAAGGAAACTGGAATTAATAAGTCAAGTGTAAGTGAGACTGTCTCGGAAAAAGACGTCACTCTCATCTGCTCCCAGTCCAGACGTTTGGAACGATGGGCGGAACTTTTCAGAGAACAGTTCAACTGACCTTCAGCCACCCTACAACTACCCTCCATTCCCAGACAGTGTGAATGGAACATTGAAGTAAGTCCCCCAATTCTAGTTGAAGTTGAAAAGGCTATAGTTAATCTGAAACGAGGAAGAGTAGTTGGTCTAGAAGGATTGGCTCCAGAGATCTTTAAGGATGGTGGTCCAATTTTAGCGATTAAGTTGACTAATATTTTAGCTAAAATCTGGGAGTTGGACGTTATCCCATCTGACTGGTCACAATCATTGATCGTCCCAATATATAAGAGAGGGTCAAAATCATTCTGTGACAACCATAAAGGGATTAGTTTAATTAATATAGCATCTAAAATACTAGCCTCGATAATTATCGGACGCTTAACTAAGAAATTTCATGCGATTGGTTCCCTTTATGAATTTAAATAGAGCAAGAACAAACATTGATGCTTAACTAAGACTCGTGAACTGCAAACACGAGAAAATCAAGCTGGATCGATGCATCGATCACATATTCACAATTCGTCAGGTTCTAGAACACAGGCATACTTATCGGCGTCCGGTAATGGTGGTCTTTCTTGACTTAAAAGCAGCATTTGACTCGGTAGACCGCGAGATTATGTGGCAGTGTCTGTCATTGAAAAGCGTACCCCAGAAGTACATAAACCTTGTAAAGGCTCTTTACTCGAACACTACCAGTCGAGTCAGAGCTTATGGCGAACTGTCATCTACTTTTGCAACCTCAAGTGGTGTCCTTCAAGGCTGTCCACTTTCTCCATTTTTGTTTAACTTCATCATAGATCTACTGATGGAAATAACATTCTCGTCGACTGAGTTCTCGGGTATTAATCTCCATCCAGAAGGTCCACTTATCGACTTAGAATACGCAGATGACATAGTCCTGTTTGGTGAGGACGCTGATAAAATGGAAAGTCTTCTGATAGCACTAAGCAACAATGCCAGAATGTTTGGAATGCACTTCTCTCCTTCTAAATGCAAGTTGTTGCTTCACGACTGGTTTGCGTCAACACCTGAACTAAGGATAGGGAGTGAAGTAGTCGAACGCGTCGACAACTTCACTTATCTTGGAAGTCTGATCAGCCCTAATTGGTTGATGTCTGATGAAATCTCAGCACGGATTCGAAAAGCTCGCTTGGCTTTTGCCAACTTACGTCACCCATGGCGGAGGAGAGATATCCGTCTATCAATAAAAGGATGAGTATACTGCGTGGCATTTCGTTCTGTTCTGCTTCACGGCTGTGAAACGTGGCCATCAAGGGTAAAGGATACGCGTAAGCTATTAGTGTTTGGTCACAGATGTCTTAGAAATATTGCTGGCGTCTGTTGGGATCACCGGGTAAGTAATAGGGGGGGTTCAGATACAGGGTATTAGGGAATGATGGTAAATTGGTTGATGAGATTGTGAATCTTCATCGACTGAGATGGTTGGACCACGTGTTACGTATGCCCGAACACCAATTACCGCGACGTGCAATGCAAACCGGTGCTGGAGATGGTTGGAAGAAAGTTAGGTGCGGCCAAACCAAAACGTGGTATCAGTACTTGAAGCCACTAACTTCTGGTCTGAGCCATGTTGGTAGATGCCTGATGCCTTATAAAAAACACAAACATATTATACGTTAGGTCTTGAAATAAAATCCCTAATGAAAATCATACTCTGATAAACAAAATTCTTTAAATGAACAAAAAACTACGGAAAATGCCGTGTGCGACACACTTAGCGAACATTCAAAAAGTTAGGGATAACAGCCTTCCATTTACGTTGACAACTGGTGATCCTTAAAATGTAGTGATCATCAACCCTTTATTGGTATTTTCCCATATTACGTAATAATCAATTCCTCAAGCATGTGCCAAAAATACTACAAACTAATCAGTGAAGTAGCTAAAGCGTCAAGTATTTTCATCTTGTACAATGTTTATATAATTTAAAAATTAGCTGTATATTTAAAACTTCATTAAAAATGTCAGTCCCTTTAAGGAGAATAGTTGAATAAAATCTGTAAGCTTATGATTAAGAGTAACTCACCGAGTACATATATTTATATACTCGACTTTGGACCACTCTATATCTACGAAATGGATATTGACACTACTTTGCTTCCTGGAATCTACAGTGGGATTTCGATCTACGACCATCTTCTGGTGGCTGAGAACGGGTTTTTTAGTCAAGAAAGTTATCCACCCTCAACATACTCATAGAAAACTGTTTATGAAAGTATAACTGCAGAGTAGAATATTTTTTTTAAAAACTAGGAAGTTTTATTTGATACTTCATACTCTCATATAAACCCTCTGTCGAATAAACATAATGTTTCTTCACTGTGTAAATCAAGACCTGTATATTAATTGATGACTTTACTGTCCAGAAAAAGCAATGACAGCTTCACCATCATTCAAATTAATGACGGTTAACAGTCAGTCAGTCATAGACACTAGACAATCTGGGACATATTTGCATCAGTCCAAGTTATCATATCATATCAGGATACCAAGATGAAATTATCAAAACTAATATCAGAGTGGTAGACGTAGTAACATTGTCAATGACAATATCAAACATTACGCTTAGGAAAATATAATTCAAGTAGAAACTATGAATTTGACAAATATTAAGTGTAAGTATTTTTCCAAGATTAAGAGATAATATACCTGACTTATTTTAACTATTGATCATTCACTTCTATCTTTTCTCTCACCCTTAACCCCATTCCTGTAATTCATTTCAATAAAAGGTATTAATGCTTACATTACAAAATGATTCACCGGATATTGACAGTGTTGCAACAGTTAACAATCAATATTTAAATTATGGACACAAATTTCGTAAATTCACCAAAGCTTGCCTTATGAAAGATCCAGGTCAACGTTTATCTGCTCGTGAATTACTTAGCCATACTTATATCAAATCAAAAGCGAAGGTAATCCATGTTGAAATGATCTTGTTAAATTTTTATAAATCACTATAATTACTGTTATACTAAATTTATATTTAGTTTGTTCATACTTATTATTCCCATTTTAGAAACATGTTCTATGTCGAATCGTTTCGAATAATTTTCAATTGTTTTAAAAACTTGATAAACAATTATTTAAATATATTGTAAATATTCCGGTTCTACGATATATATATATATATATCCCTTGTTACCCCTCGTGGAGCACAGGCCGTCAACCAGGATTCTCCAACCAACTCTGTCAGCCCCCAAATGCCCTGGTACGGCCGAGAGTGTTGAGAGTCCGCTCTCCCTCTCGAAATGCTCACACGGCCACGCGTATATAACCTCTGCCAGGGAAGTCCTACTCACTGCCTTTTCGTGGCACTACTGTTGTTTACGAAAATGAGAGGACGAAAAGCGAATATCCGGTGCTTTAACCGGATCCCAAACCAAATCAATGGTGCACATGGGCTCCAGTATCCTGAGGGAACAAATGGCGTGTGAACGAATCGTTGGTCACCGGCTTCCATGAGACTGCATCTCCTCACGATGCTCCACTGCCTTGTGGGTCAGACCTTCAGGTCGAAGGCTCGGGGAGTGGACCCTAATAAAACCACCTGTTTCGGTTTGGGCACCCGGTCAGTATCACAGCCCTCACACATATCGAATGGGATTTGTGTGGCGCATATGTATTTGGTGCCTTTTTTTTACCAATATCTATGTGTTAAAATAAATAATAAATAATAACCAACTCTGTCTTCCTCTCTCCTTTCCAGCTGTTGCCAATTGTTACTCATTCTGTTGATACCTGGCTCTAATTCTCAGCTCAGTGTATTCTTTGTTCTGGTTCTTCTCTTTTTACTTTGAGGATTCAAAGTTAAGGCTTGCTTTATGTTGAAGTTTAATGATTTCGACAATGTTTGGTTTATCCACCTACAGATTTCCTCTTCAGCTGAATATATATGATTTTATATGCTCTGATCACCAATGGGAGCTGGTGCGAATTACTTGATATTACCCTATTACAAGAATTGGAATGGTACTAAGTTTTAGAATGTCGCCATAGTCATCGTTATTGTGTCAACAACGCTAAAATTTCACAATAATACTTTTTTTGGTCAGCTGTAAGGTCCATATGTCGACAAGTTTCCCTGATTCACTCTCATTACAGAACATACAAATGTGTGGCTTCGATTCATTGTTCTGCGATTGTTGTCGGTTTCCGTGTTTGGTGACCGGAAGCACTGGACAGGAAGCCATAGACTTAGGTTTCGTGCTGGTTAGCATTTGTCGGTAATTTGTAACTGCAATCTTGAGGAGACTGATGCTCCCTGTTAGATTAGAACCATGCTTCACTGTCTAAAAAAGGTTTCCTATTTTTGGGCTACAATGTCGAGTCACCCAGACTAGTTGCCATATTGCAACTTAATTGACATGATTCGATCAGTATTAAAAACGACTAGACAAACAGTCACTGTTCAGTGACTAATCTATGTCATCAGTTTCCCATGTAAATTATTATTGTTTAATGCAAGCGATGTGAGTTTGTATTCGTCGGGTACACTTCTGCATGCATTTCTTATCTATCGCTCTGCTTATCAAGTGTATATTTCTTGAAAAAAACCTTTTTCCATATTTTAAATTATAAACAACTTTGGGTTATATATAGGTATAGGTTTATTTATAGATGTAGGCTTCTATAAAAAGTTTCCAACATTCACACTTCAAAGAATTCATTAATAACATTTGTATTTATACCCAATTGTTTTTACTATTATTACTATTAAAGGATCGAGAATTACTTTGTCGAGTTTTGCTTGGTGGTGAGATGCCACCTCCTATTTCTCGTATCAATAAGCACCCGGATGATCGATCAGAAAAGCGTGATCCTAAGGTACGTGTACTTGTGTTTGTATGTCAAACTGTATTATTCTTTCTTTTACTGACTAACGAGTATTTTATGTCATAACAAATGAACTGTAACTAGCAGTATAATCGAAGACCCACGTTTCCTTCTACTGAGGACACATCTGCTAAGCCTAGTTAGCCACTAACTTATTCAACAGTTATGTTGTTTACATCACTACTAGAAAGGGTTTGAACTATCCCGTCGTTATTATTAAAACCTTTACTAGTAATGATGTAAATATCATACTCGTCCCGACCGTTGTTGCTACCTTGACGTGGTGGTCGGGCTTGCCTATCGTGATGAAGCAACCGAGCTATACTGGCTGGAACAACCGTTCCTCAAGGTCCTACCATGTCAGACAGGTCGGTTGAAGAGCGGTAAGACTAAAAGCAACAAACCCAAGGTCCGAAGGCGAAGTCGTACTGCTGACTGTACAGAGGTGTGACAGCAGTAAGGTGTTTCCTTCAGACAACCAGCATGACAGCGATGCTGCCTTCCCACAAGGAGGGGTGGGGTTAGAAAAGGTCGACCCTAAAAATGCGCACCTCACCTTACCTCACGGATTTCCGTCTCCGGCGGTAAGGCCCTTTGAAGAACGGAGCTAACACGTCAAAAACCTTCCACAAAAAGGTCGTGTGTGACCGGCCTCAAGCAGTTGTCCCTTGGGCACTGCGGTCACGCTCTCAGGTCACTGAGACCGCCTCTAATCCAATTTCCTTTTCAGGTACCTCCAGAAGAACCCTTCCACGGTGTGGGCAACCGGGAAGTGATAACCGCCCTCATACCTCTAACAGCACCCAAGACCACTGTATTCATAATCAACCTTCCTCTTCAATTCCTATTATTCCTCCTACATCGACTTTCAACCCTAAACTTCCTCCTTCGGCTTCCTCCTCAAGTGTCACCATAGCCAACGATTCTAGTGCTCGAAACTCTGTCCCAGGTCTACTGAAACCTCGCTCCAAACTACACATTGGAGCTTTCAACGTACGCACTCTATGTCAAATCGGTCAGCAGGCTTCCTTGGCTAAAACCCTAGAGTCTCTTTCCATTGATGTATGCTGTGTCTCCGAAACACGCATACAGGATTCCAGTGTGGTCATTCACTTGACCTCACCTCGGCAAAACGGAGAGCCAACGAGATACACCCTACGTGTATCTGGTGACCCGATGGCCAGTTCTCGTGGACTGGCAGGTGTAGGCATAGCACTAAGCATGAGGGCGGAACAAGCACTGCTAGAGTGGATCCCCGTCAACAGTCGCTTATGTGCTGTTCGGCTAAACGGCTCCGTAAAAACTCGGAAGGATAGGGACACACGTCGTTGCCTTTTCGTCGTTTCTGCCTACGCTCCCACTGACTGCAGCTCAGATGATGTGAAAGATGAATTTTACAGAAAGCTGTCCGAACTTCTTCAGAAAGCTAAACGCTCAGACATAGTACTCGTAGGGGGTGACTTTAATGCTCAGATAGGTAGCTTAAACCAAACAGAAAGGCATTTAGGTGGATATTTTAGCATTCCGGCACAGCGAACAGATAATGGTGACCGTCTGCTGCAACTGTGCTCAGACAATCGCTTATTTTTAGCAAACACAAATTTTAAGCATAAGGAGAGACATCGTCTAACATGGCGACCGCCTGCACCAAACCAGCGATGGACTCAAATAGACCATATTGCCATCAGTCATCGTTGGAGAGGGTCGGTACAAGATTGTCGCTCATTCTGGGGTACCTGCTTGGACTCCGACCACGCCCTAATACGGGCACGCATCTGCTTGCGCCTCACTGGACGCAAAAAAGCCACACTTAAAAGACCCATTAGAACCGAACTGAGTAGCGAGGAAACCAAAAGTAGGTTCCAGGAACAACTGAGGTCACATTTAGGTAGTTCTGAGAACGAGGCTGACCCAGATGTTGCTTGGAAAGATATACAAGCAGCTGTGGAAGCAGCAGTGACATCTATTAGCGACTTAAACCACAGAGTTTCAAAGAACCAGTGGATTTCTTCAAAGTCTATCACACTGATGGATTCTCGCAAGTGTAAGTGAGATTATTTTGGAAAAAGATGATACTCTCATCTGCTCCCAGTCCAGACGTTTAGAACGATGGGCGGAACATTTTAGAGAACAGTTCAGCTGGCCTTCAGCTACTCTACAACTACCCTCCAGAATGGAACATTGAAATAGGTCCCCAACTCTTGCTGAAGTTCAAAAGGCTATAGTTAATCTGAAACGAGGAAGGGCAGCTGGTCCAGATGGATTGGCTCCAGAGGTCTTTAAGGATGGTGGTCCAATTTTAGCGATTAGGTTGACTAATATTTTAGCTAAGATCTGGGAATTAGACTTTATCCCATCTGACTGGTCGCAATCACTTATCGTCCCAATATATAAGAAAGGGTCAAAATCATCCTGTGACAACCACAGAGGGATTAGTTTAACAAACATAGTATCTAAAATACTAGCCTCGATAATTATCAAACGCCTAACTAAGACTCGTGAACTACAAACTCGAGAGAACCAAGCTGGCTTTAGACCTGGTCGTGGCTGCATCGACCACATATTCACCATTCGTCAGGTTCTAGAACACAGGCATACCTATCGGCGTCCGACGATGGTGGTCTTTCTCGACTTAAAAGCAGCATTTGACTCTGTAGACCGCGAGATTCTGTGGCAGTGTCTGTCATTGAAAGGCGTACCCCAGAAGTACATAAACCTTGTGAAGGCTCTTTACTCGAACACTACTAGTCGAGTCAGGGCTTATGGCGAACTGTCATCTACTTTTGCAACCTCAAGTGGTGTCCGTCAAGGCTGTCCACTTTCTCCATTTTTGTTTAACTTCATCATAGATCTACTGATGGAAATAACATTCTCGTCGAATGAGTTCTCGGGTATTGATCTCCATCCAGGAGGTCCACTTATCGACTTAGAATACACAGATGACATAGTCCTGTTTGGTGAAGACGCTGACAAAATGCAGAGTCTTCAGGTAGCACTAAGCAACAATGCCAGAATGTTTGGGATGCGCTTCTCTCCCTCTAAATGCAAGTTGTTGCTTCAGGTCTGGTCTGCGTCAACACCTGAACTAAGGATAGGGAGTGAAGTAGTCGAACGCGTTGACAACTTCACTTATCTTGGAAGTGTGATCAGCCCTAATGGGTTGGTATCGGACGAAATCTCAGCACGGATTCGAAAAGCTCGTTTGGCTTTTGCCAACTTACGTCACCTTTGGCGGAGGCGAGATATCCGTCTATCAATAAAAGGACGAGTATACTGCGCGGCAGTCCGTTCTGTTTTAATTTACGGCAGCGAAACATGGCCATTAAGAGTAGAAGACACTCGTAAGCTATTAGTATTTGACTACAGATGTCTTAGAAATATTGCTGGCATCTGCTGGGATCACCGGGTAAGTAATAGCGAGGTTAGACGCAGGGTATTAGGGAATGATGGTAAATCAGTTGATGAGGTTATGAATCTTCATCGACTGAGATGGTTGGGCCACGTGTTACGTATGCCTGAATACCGATTACCACGACGTGCAATGCTAACCGGGGTAGGGGATGGTTGGAAGAAAGTTAGGGGCGGCCAAACCAAAACGTGGCACCAGTGCTTGAAGTCACTAACTTCTAGTCTGAGCCATGTTGGTAGATGCAGACTACTTGGTTGGGGTCCGCGTGACTTTCGTAACCAATGGTTGGAGACTCTTGGTGACATGGCTCAGAATCGATCACAATGGCGTCGGTGCATACACTCCCTGTCTTCCCTTAAACTAAGAGATTAAAATCACTTCATTCTTTCTGTCTACGAACTAATTCTTTCTTCCTATACTATATCCTTATTGCAACCTTTGACCTAACCACTCCTATGAATCTGCTGTTCATCTTGCTGTGCTAATGAGGTATGGCAACCTGGACCGATGCACATATGTGCCTGGTCCTACGTTGTAGCTGACTGACAAATCAGATCTAGGTTAAGAAAAAGTCTAAGAAACGACCGTGAGCAGTGGTGGGCAACGAAAGCAAAAGAGATGGAAAAGGCGGCGACTATAGGGAACACAAGACAGCTTTACAGACTAATAAAAGAAACTGGAATTAATAAGTCAAGTGTAAGTGAGATTATATCGGAAAAAGACGATACACTCATCTGCTCCCAGTCCAGGCGTTTAGAACGATGGGCGGAACATTTCAGAGAACAGTTCAACTGGCCTTCAGCTGGTCCAGATGGATTGGCTCCAGAGATCTTTAAGGATGGTGGTCCAATTTTAGCGATTAGGTTGACTAATATTTTAGCTAAAATCTGGGAGTTAGACGTTATTCCATCTAACTGGTCACAATCACTTATCGTCCCAATATATAAGAAAGGGTCAAAATCATCCTGTGACAACCACAGAGGGATTAGTCTAACTAATATAATATCTAAAATACTAGCCTCGATAATTATCAGACGCCTAACTAAGACTCGTGAACTGCAAACACGAGAGAACCAAGCTGGCTTTAGACCTGGTCGTGGCTGCATCGACCACATATTCACCATTCGTCAGATTCTAGAACACAGGCATACTTATCGGCGTCCAACAATGGTGGTCTTTCTCGACTTAAAAGCAGCATTTGACTCTGTAGACCGCGAGATTCTGTGGCAGTGTCTGTCATTGAAAGGCGTACCCCAGAAGTACATAAACCTTGTGAAGGCTCTTTACTCGAACACTACCAGTCGAGTCAGAGCTTATGGCGAACTGTCATCTACTTTTGCAACCTCAAGTGGTGTCCGTCAAGGCTGTCCACTTTCTCCATTTTTGTTTAACTTCATCATAGATCTACTGATGGAAATAACATTCTCGTCGACTGAGTTCTCGGGTATTGATCTCCATCCAGGAGGTCCACTTATCGACTTAGAATACGCAGATGACATAGTCCTGTTTGGTGAAGACGCTGACAAAATGCAGAGTCTTCTGGTAGCACTGAGCAACAATGCCAGAATGTTTGGAATGCGCTTCTCTCCCTCTAAATGCAAGTTGTTGCTTCAGGACTGGTTTGCGTCAACACCTGAACTAAGGATAGGGAGTGAAGTAGTCGAACGCGTTGACAACTTCACTTATCTTGGAAGTGTGATCAGCCCTAATGGGTTGGTATCGGACGAAATCTCAGCACGGATTCGAAAAGCTCGTTTGGCTTTTGCCAACTTACGTCACCTATGGCGAAGGAGAGATATCCGTCTATCAATAAAAGGACGAGTATACTGCGCGGCAGTCCGTTCTGTTTTAATTTACGGCAGCGAAACATGGCCTTTAAGAGTAGAAGACACTCGTAAGCTACTAGTATTTGACCACAGATGCCTTAGAAATATTGCTGGCGTCTGCTGGGATCACCGGGTAAGTAATAGTGAGGTTAGACACAGGGTATTAGGGAATGATGGTAAATCAGTTGATGAGGTTATGAATCTTCATCGACTGAGATGGTTGGGCCACGTGTTACGTATGCCTGAATACCGATTACCACGACGTGCAATGCTATCCGGTATTGTATATGGTTGGAAGAAAGTTAGGTGCGGCCAAACCAAAACGTGGCATCAGTGCTTGAAGTCACTAACTTCTAGTCTGAGCCATGTTGGTAGATGCAGACTACTTGGTTGGGGTCCGCGTGACTATCGTAACCAATGGTTGGAGACTCTTGGTGACATGGCTCAGAATCGGTCACAATGGCGTCGGTGTATACACTCCCTGTCTTCCCTTAAACTAAGAGATTAAAATCGCTTCATATCTTTCTTTCTACGAACCAATTCTTTCTTCTTGTACTATATCTCTATATGCAATCTTTCTCTTACATATTACTAACTTTGATCTAACCACTGCTATGAATCCGGTGTTCATCTTGTTGTGCTGATGCGGTATGACAACCTGGACCGATGCACATATGTGCCTGGTCCTACGTTGTAGCTGACTGACTGATCATACTCGTTAACCATGTTAGTGCCTATCTAGACTTAGTAGTTCAGCGGATATTGTATTCTTTGTAAAAAGAAACAGTCTTCCTGGACTACACTGCCATCTACAGTTTGTCTAAACCTTACCATTGATGATATATTTTATAACAGTTTACTACGAAAAAGATTCTGTTTCTTTACATTGATATCATGTTGCTGTTCTTGCCGACATTGTGGTACACGTCTACCACCCCGCTTATAAACTTTATAAGTGTTTCAGTGTGATAATCTGATTTAGAGTGGTAAAGTAAAATTTTTGCGACCTTATTTAATTTCTTTATTCAATAAATATTAATTTTATCTTTTTATGACGAGTTTAAATGCTTATTATATGTCTAACAAAATTTCTTTTCAAGAATAACAGTACAGAATGGAATTTCGATACAGTGGGACGTGTATCTAATAGTGGTGTTGATAGTGATGATGATAGTGATGAGAATGACTATAAGGTTACTTCATATACTGATCGTTCTGGTAGTGTACTCCAACCTTGTAATTCATCTAGTGGATTTGATTTTCCATCAGAATTATTAACTCAAACAAATGCAACTGCTGTAATCGGTTCATCTGCGTCTAATCAAGTGAATAATGCACGTGCAACGGGAGCAACGATGGCAGTGCCAACAACACTACCAGTTGTTGATGAAACTGTTGGTGTTATTAGTCCACGAAGTAATATACCACATTTAGATAGGACAGACAACTATAATATTGCGGTGTCTGGGTCATCATCATCGTCATTTCCACCTGCTCCAGCGTGTACACCTGCCTCTCCAGAGACATCTGATTCGATTAGTGCTATGGCAGCAGCGTTCTCGAGCACTTTGACAACTGAGGATTCTGATAATCAGCAACCCCAGTCTCAAACAAATGATCCTGTAAGTCTTTGTCGTTCCTCATGAACGTTTCAACTTGATTTTTGCATTATTAATATTTGAAAGGTTTCAACTGGAATAATATTAAGATTTATGGTATTAGGTGACTTGAGGTAGTCGAAAAGAAACCGTACATAACCCTGATGTCGTACAACTTGATACTCAATAATAAAGCATATCTGAGTTTCAGGTTCAAACCCCATATCCAACCTACTTTTAGCTTAGCTAACTGGTTGATATCATTAGTCATTATATATAAGTAGTACCTGGTTCATTGTATAGGAAATAAAATTACTTCTTGCTGTGATGTTATCTTTCGCTCTCCTTCAATCTGTACATGTATTGTACAACTTGTCGGCACATTTAATATTTGCTGATGTACATAACGCCAATATATTAACAATTGGTGATCATATCATTTGTTCTTTATTGATCTCTTGTTGTGTATGGCCAGTATTTATTGTCTTCTTCATAGATCACTCAATTTTGCCATAATTTTAAAAAAAAAGCGGTCGAGACACATGAATCATTGTTATTATTCCAGCAGAAAAAGTACCGACTATTTAAATAGAGTATCTTCAATCACTTGTTCAAGTTTTATCATCCAGTTGCGACAAGTTTTTTCTAATATGAAAGCGGTCGAAAAAATGTTTTAATGATGGACTATGTAGACTGATGGAGTTCAACCAAGTTTTGTTAGTGAGATACTGGCTAATATATTTGCTCTGTCGTGAATTAATTTTAGTTGGAACTGTGAATTACCATTCGATATTTACAATTTATGAATGTGCCCTACATATAAAGAAAAGATTGCTCACCCCTATCCCAGACATACTGGTGTTCAATGTTGGCGTATATTACTTCTAGATAGAAAGTATCGGTGATATTAATCATTCATATATATGTACGCATTAATATTTGACAAATAAGATGTTTTATGTGTTTAATTTTATGTGTAACATGCATAAGTACTTACTTAATCCTGTTACCCCTTATGGAGGAGCATGGGCCGCTCACCACCATTCTCCATCCAACTCTGTCCTGAGCAATCCTTTCTAGTCGGTATTCATCCTATTTATGTCTGCTTCCAATTTTCAGTGCAGTATGTTCTTCGGCCTTCTTCTTTTACGTTTACCTTCAGGATTCCATGTTAGGGCTTGCTTCGTAATGCAGTTTGATGATCTCCTCAATGTGTGTCCTATCCACCTCCATCGACTTTTGGTAGTTTCCTCCTCAACTGGGAGTTGATTCGTTCGTTTCCACAGTAGGCTGTTGTTGATAGTATCTGGCGAACTGAAATTGAGTACCTTGTGTAAATAATTGTTTAGAAATACTTGTACCTTTCTGATGATAGTTGTAGTAGTTCTCCAAGTTTCAACTCCGTACATTAGAACTAACTGACTTGACTCTCATATTGAAGATTGTTACTTTGATGTCGGTTGACAGTTGTTTTGAGTTCCATATGTTCTCGAATAGTAGGAATGCTACCCTTACTTTGTTAATCCTTGACTTTACGTCTGCATCGGATTCTCCACGCTCATAGACGATGCTACCCAGATACGCGAAAGTCTCCATCTCTTCCAGAATTTCTCCATCAAGTATGATTGAGTTGATGTTTTCTGTGTTGTATTTGAGGATGTTGATTTTTACCTTGTGTGTATATTCAGGCCTACTGATGTAGAGGCTGTTGTTACAGTGATTGTGTTGATTTGCGTTTGCTCGTGTGTATAGGTAGAAGGGTCAGTTTATCTGCGAAGTTCGAATCGTCTATTTGCATCCAAGCTTTCCATTGTATTCCGCGCTTTAGCTGAGATGTGCAGATATACATATTCCAGTCAACCATCAGAAGAAAGAGAAAAACGAAATAGAGAGAATGTGTGTGAGAGTAAGCAGCCTTGTCTGACTCCAGTCCTTACTTGGAATGCATCTGTCAACTGTCCTCCATGCACGGCTTTGCAGTGTAGTCCGTCATGTGAATTCTGTCTGATGTTGACGATTATCGCAGCTACCCACTAGTGAGTTTCGAACAAGGTTGCATAATGTACTCCTATTGATGATGTCAAACGCTTTCTTATAATCAAGGAAGTTGGTGTATAGTGACGAATTCCATTCAATTGATTGTTTAAAGATGATCTATAGTGTGGCGATTTGGTCTGTGCACGATCGATCCTTACGGAATCCTGTCTGTTGATCTCGAAGGTGAGCGTCTATTGAATCTTTCATCCAGTCAGACAGTACTCTGTTGAGGACTTTTCATGGTAGTTTTCACACTTGCTCAGATCTCCTTTCTTTGGTATTTTGATGAGTTATCCTTCTTTCCAGTCTGTCGGCACTGAGTGTAATAGCCAGTGATTTTGGTGGTTTCCACAAACTGAAGCAAGTAGAATGATTTTTGAAACTGTGGCGTAGTGGGTGAGAGCTGAACGCTTTAACCTTTCATCCGGTTCAACAACACTTGTAACTTGCATGCTTACATTTATTTAGTGCACTTTGGAATAATAATCTTAATCTCTCTCAATATTCATACGAGTTCCATTTTATAGATTAGTGAAATAAGTAATCTATCTAGTGCGAAAGAGACCATGAAGTAATCGATTACAAGAAACATGTGCATATTATTATGATAATTGTCAACAAAATAATTAAATTGATGTATTGCAAAAGAGGTAATGTAGCTAACAGTGGAATCTTAGATTCACACTCCTTCCCACGTAGGACTAGTCATCTGAACGTATTTACACACTAGAGTCGTTTTTTTTTGCTCCGGGACATCAACCTAGTTCTTTTGATTCAAGCGCTATCGCTCTATCTATTCAGCTACTTGTGGAATTATTTGATGCAAATGCGTCCAGCTGAAGAGTCCTAAATACGATCAAAACTTCGTCCTAGATTTTACTGCTATTCACATTCCATTGATTTTATGTAAACTTGTGTCACAATACCTGTATCCAGCTGGTTCATACAGAATGCACCGATACCGACTAATACTAATCAGATTTCAGTTAAAATATCAACAACAGTCAGAAACACTACCAATGAGCTATCCAGGTTTTCCTGTTGACTACCTCCAACCACCATTTCATCTCAATATGGTGCACGTGATGTCGGGTCGCGTAGACTAGTGTCTACATTGCAACTTGGTCGATAGCATTCGATCTGTAATAGGAAGAACCTAACACACATAACATTGATCAATATCCAGTGATCAATCAAATGTAAACACATCTCAGTCCCACAGGACCTCAGTCGCAGCCCGGATCGCTCATTGGTGACGTCTCTGACTGTGAAGCTTGGTGACACGGGATCGAGTCCGTTAGGGAGCATCACTTCCCTCAACATTACAGGTACACCTTGCCGACAAGTGCCAAGTAGCACGAAACCTAGTCCATGGTTTCCTGTCGACCACCTCTAGCCACCATCTCAGATCAAACACTTTATCCAATAATTTTAAAATCAGACTAGTTATAATGATCATAAAAATTGTAGGTCAAACAAATAAAACGAAATTTCTCGATATTTCAAAGATGAGGGATTAATATCAACGAATCGAAAACCTTCACAGTTCTAGATAAACCAGGAACTGTGCATCGATTAGAGTCAAAATAACCAATAACTATTACTATATTATATACTGCCCCCAAATGCCCTAGTACGGCCGAGAGTGGGGAGAGTCCGCTCTCCCTCTCCAAATGCTCCCACATGGCCACGCGTATACAGCCTCTGCTAAGGAAGTCCTACTCAGTGCCTTCTCGTGGCACTACTGTTGTTTACGAAAATGAGAGGACGAAAAGCGAATGTCCGGTGCTTTAACCGGATTCCAAACCAATGGTGCACATGGGCTCCAGTATCCTGAAGGAACAAATGGAGTATGAACCAATTGTTGATCACCGGCTTCCATGGGACTGCATCTCCTCACGATGCTCCACTGACCTGTGGGTCAGACGTTCAGGTCGAAGGCTCGGGAAGTGGCCCCCTAAGAAAAACCACCTGCTTCGGTTTGGGCACCCGGGCAGTATCACAGCCCTCACACATGTCGAATGAGATTTGTGTGGCACATATGTATTTGGTGCCTCCTTGTACCAATATCTATGTGTTAAAATAAATAAAATATTATATACAGTCCTACCTTTGTCCTGTTTATTTATCGTGTTAGTCACTCTACTAGGGGATCTACTACAGTATTATATTCATGATAAGTCTGCTTATGACGTTGCTGATCAATTTGAGACCATATTCACTTCCGAATTTCTTGATTTCCATTTTTCAAAGATTCTTCGTTTATATAAAGCCATTTTTGTTCTTTGAATATGTTTGCTGAATGAATACACTTAACTAAAACTTAAAATTTTTTATTCCATACTGATGATTTTATATTTTTTCCCAACCGTCTAGTCATGTGGCAGTGGTTTATGCTATCGAATAACATTGCGTAAACGTAATCCGAAGCAGAATAATGAACTACAAGATATCAGTTTTAATTATGTCCCAGGAGAAGGTGGGTTGATTTTCTTTTTTTCGTTTTCAAACCTTTATTTTTAATACTTCAAACACTAAGCGCGTTACTGAAATCAATGAATAAACTGATAGGCTTCATTGAATTTCAAGATGAAGGAAAATGTCAAGTTGATTAATGAGAGGCTATGATTCTTTTTCGATTCGAGATAATGAAAAATAACGCTTTACTTATGAACCCACCAAGTTATTGTGTAATGATAACTCCCATAAGAAGAGTAGGTTGGAACTGTAATTGACTCTTCGCGTTGCCTTCTGAATTCATACATCTTTGAGATTTATTTAATAATGGTTATCGTGATGATTGATAAACAAAGCCCAAGGAATTATCTCGAAGCCAAGCCTCTACAACGTTGATAGCTTCAGATATGTAATTTGAAAGGTGTGAGCTAATCATTATCATGGTTGATTACTTAGGGTAAAATGGTGCTACATTGGCTGTATCGTAACGGTGCAGTTGCATTCACTTCTTCCTTTAAATCTTCAGTTTTATTTTATTTCTTATTTTGGCAAAATTATATTATAGGGTCAGGACAATCAGAATCATGAAAGTGACTTTGTGTTTTGCTCAAAATTCAAATTTCACGAACAGTAGAAATACTTTTGTATGGTGCTTAAAGCGTTCAAGATAACGGCGAAAAGTTATTTTTCACCACGGTAGAGTCGGAATTATGGTGTTATATGTATCAGATACTGTCTCTGTAGTTGGTATGCAACAGGCAAATCGACAATATCCCTAAATTCTGACATTAAGCCCTTCATCTTAAAGCAAACGTTAGCCTGGTGGTGCATGATCTCGTGGACAAACTAATCAGATAGTACCTTTTAAATTTTTGTGAGTAATTCATTGATTTAAACGGATAGAAGGCTTTTTCAGATTACAGCTGATGCCAGTTCGTGATGAAAACCCGAACCCTGACTAAGAAGAAAATGGAAACGCATAGAAGTCTATTTAGGTGCTCATTGGATTCCCAGAAGACAGCCAATCTATGTCCATATAGGCGAATTTATATGTCTTTAATTTTTTGATTTACAGGCAGATTATTCTGTAGATGTTGATAGATTCATTTTTAGTGTAAAATGCATTTTAAACATCGCAACATTATTGCTTCCTCTTTCATAAAAGATCCACTTGCAAAAGCTGCTTCCTCACTAACAAAAAATTAGCTGGAAGTTCGTTGCGGTCGTTTTAACCTTTCCCCCTTACTTTTCCCAGTGATCTCAACTGTCTAACAGAAATGGTAAACTCAAGTCAAAAGATCATTTTCCATCATCATCATCTGCACGATTTTATTTCTCGCGTTCATTAACGATTGACTCACAAAATATCCTTCATTGCTAAAACTAATGGTTGACAATGTATTTGTATAAATCGGAATGATTCATATTGATCTCATAAATCTATGTATAGGTTGGATGATTATTGAAGTTCAGTTCGAGATTAAGATCAAAATAGGGACTTTCCTAACAGGGTGAGAATAATAGCGTAGCACACTTATTTATTTTAGGTCAATAGTTTCTTACCAACTTACCTAAAAATAAAATAGTGGTTTGACCGATTAATAATCGAACTGTATGATATCACATGTCTCTAAGGCAATCCGATTTTCATGTAGCAAAAATGAAAACATCTAAAATTCGTTGATGATTGACTTCGGGTCTGTGTATTGAAATTGATTTGTATTTCAACGGCATCATTCGATTGAATGAACCATCTAGTAATCACATTTGTGGTTTGTTTATGTGGAGTTTATTTCTCTGAACTGGATGGTTTGGTCGCGACTACGGCCACCTGAGTTACAAATCTTCCCCACCGTTTCTTTGTGACTTATGCACACAAATACACACAATCATTTACTTGTTCATTACTATTTGATATTCAACAGTTTTTTCTTGAAATTGACATCAAACTAGTTATGAAACAATGTAAGATCACATCGTCTAAGAAAGTATAAAACTTTTCTAGGCTGCATGCTTTTGATTTTGGATATCTTGTAAGCATTACTCGTGTATACTGAGAACAGCCAAGTGAACAGTGCTGTGTTTAGACACAGGGTAGTAAACAAAGATCGCAAATAGATTTACGTGGTTGAATCACTCACAACCACCAATTAAAGAAAATCTAGACTTACAAATTAACCAATTAATAATTATACACTATCCATCAAAATTAACATGTGTTTATCAAAATAGAGGTTTCATTTAATGAAAGTAGCACGCACACTTCCTCTCTCAATATATATATATTACCGAAATTTCACGATATATAATCTGCTGAGTTCCCTTGGATGATGTATGAGAATCATATGATGTCCTGTTATATTCGACCGGATACACATATATACCCTATTTGACTGTTTTAACAGTTGCTAATACTCAGTAACACTAGTCAATAAATACTCAACGAGCTCCAATTTTATTAGTCCATGAAATCGAACCAACCCCACCGTAACCCACTGAAGCTACCCTATGATTGTGGTGATTAGCTTAATCTGTTTCAACGAACTATTCGAGCTATTTGTAGTCTTAATGATTTCTTCTCCAATGTCGTATTATGTCAGTTAGATTAGGAAAAACCCGTAAGACCGCAAGAAGCAAATTCTATTCGCCACAATGAAGTTATACTCCCATCTGCACTAGAGTTTGCCTCTAGTATGGTGTATCCTAGATATAATCGAAATCACCGATTTTAACTTCCCAGGTGCTGTAGTTTAGGAAATGTTAGTCCTAAAACTACCATACCTCCATGAATTTTCGATCCTTGCAATAAGGTTATAGATGTACTTAACTGATACACCAAGAACCATAAAAAAAGTCTTTCGTGATCAGCCCCAATAAGTTATCTATTGATCTCTGCGGTCACATTTCCAGGTTGACATGACACTGACTACTTATCACGTTTTTTTTTAGACCCTACAAGTGAAAATAAAAACTATGTGAGTCATTCTCTCACACATCGCTAACACCACTCAACTATCCAGTTTTGGATTTGAACCCTACCACATTTACGTCTTTCTATGATGTAACTTGTGATGATTTGGATCGATTCGTGTTTTTGCTGCATTGTTTTTCCGTAATTTCTTCTTAACACTTCTAACCTTTGCAATAACGTATAACTCAAGTGTTGCTACCTTCTTCAAGCCTCGTTAATGAATCTATAATGATATATTTTTCTTCCAACCATTACCACAAATAAATTCAAACTGACTGCAAAGCCGAATTATACCTAGTCTCATTGTGAAAATTATCTGACGATCGATTTTATCTCACCCTTATTTCAGCCAGCCAATATCATCAAATATCTTATTCCGTCGTCTTTGTTTAGCTGTCGTGTATTCTCCATCCATGTCTCACAATAGATCATATTATAACCGAGAAAGGCTAACTGTGCCGAATATTCTCGTGCCTTGCGTTGTCACAGTTTTTTTCGAATAAATATGTATATCACTGTAATATAACTTAAATTATCAAGAGTTAATCCTTGATAAAAATATTAAACCGAGTAACGTTGCACCTAATACGTATAAATATGAGACAGCGGCCTTAATGTTTCAACCACTTCACTATCAGTCGTCAGTTTCAACACCACCCTACTTCGGTTTTACCTAATCACATAATATCACTACTAGCTGACAAGCATAAGTAACGTCGCTCAAATCCGTCAACATACACAATTTATAATGTACTTGGTAAATTGAGTCTTAGTGTTATAATCGATTATCTTCCTCTCCAACCCTTTCGAAAAATTCATACTTGCACTATCAATGAAAGTGAGTTTATTTTTTGCTGTTTTTGTTTCATGTATAATAAACATTATCTATAATATATAATGATTTATATGTTTTTTCTGTTTAATTGTAGTGTACTGAAGTGATAATATTCTTTGATGGTTATTTCTCTTTCTTGACTCTTACAGATTCAGCTGATGTTTTAGCACGTGAACTAGTCCAAGCTGATTTACTGGATGGTTGTGATTCATTATTGGGTTAGTGTTCAATTTTTTGTTCATGTGTTTTTCCAATTTTTTTCTATTTTTATGCCCTATTGTTTTGTTTCTAAAAGTTAAGGGTAGTAGTAACTTACTAATATGACATAATAGGCGCTTCCGATGTTATTGCCCGTGTAAGTTGAGACTGTTGAGTGGTCAATTTCGAGATTTAATGCTAAGTATTAGTGTGGCGTGTGCTACTTATATTGACATAAGTAGTATTTGATGTTAGTCGTGAACAGAAGGTCTGGCAGCAGAGAGACAAGAGGATCGAACAGTAAAGAATCGAAACAGCATGCAATTTGTGTGAAAATGCAAGAACAATGAAGTCTGAGTCATTTTGAGACAGTTGGTGGGCATTTTACAAATTAAGCATTTACTCTATGATTGTTAGATTTTATTAACAGGTCCTATAATTTTGTGTTAAATACATTCTATTGTCCCCACTGGTGTTCTGTTCACTATATTAGGTAAGGATGATAAGTTGATTCACAAGCTTGTGAACCTTTATCTACTGAGATAGCTAGGACATGTAATACATGTAATTTCGATAGAACAATGAGAAGACGGAGTTGTTCTATCGAAATTTATAAAAGGGACTAATTGCTTTAAATACATATAATCAACAATCCTACCTTGACCAGTAATACTGGCTCATATAGGAGTAGATTAGCGGAAAGCTAGAGGCGGCCAAATGAAAACCTCTCATCAGTCCATTAAGTCAATGATCTCTAAACTGTGTGATGCAACTCGATGGAGACTATCTTATCGGGGTCCGCATGATTATCGTAGCTGGTGATTAGCAAATCTGAGTGGTAATATTACGATGGTATTGATCGATGGTTGTCTTGTTATATCGCTAGTTTGTTGATGCTGAGAATATGAACACTACCTCAGTGACTGATGAGTTTTATGTTCATTGTTAATTTAGTGATTATGATAATTTATCTATTAAGTACGGATTTACATTTTCAGCTTTGAGTTCCACTGTATACGAGGGCTAGTAATACTAATCGTTCTTTTAAATCCCAGCAAATTGAAAAGAGTCTTTTGATCTACCACTTAATGCTCGAAAACAATATACTTAAATTATTGTATTACCTGTTTGCTATTTAAGATAGGGTTATTGATTGTTAAACAGTCGCAACAAGTGTTTAGCGCTTCCTAATTTTCAGTATTTTCATTATAGAATGATTGTGTTCACTTTTCCATTAAATCATTTAGTTCAAATAAATTTAGCATATTTTCAATTAGCGTTGAACCTTGATTATTTTATTTTTGTAAATAATTTGTAAAGTGTATTTAACTCGTACATTTAATATTAGAAGGGGTGTTTTGTGGATATTATAGTAATTTCACTAGTTGAATGCATGAGTCCATTGAAGCTAGACCACTATAGAGAACCTGGAAGCACTGGACGGCCTACTGTGGGACTCCTCAGCAATGCGCATTCACGATCCGGCCACGCGAGATTCGATCCCAGGACCTGTCAGTCTCATGCGCGAGTGGCTAACCTCTAGACCACTGAGCCACCAACCATGGTGGTCTATCTTCAATTGACTCATGATCTCAACTATTGAAATTACTATAATATCCACAAAAAACCTCTTCTGATATTAATCAACATATGCTCACTAATGACTGGCTTCAAGAAGTATTTCCTAGAATTCTAGTGAGAAGCAGTGACCAGTGGAGTTCAACCGGGTCTGTTGTGAGATAGTAACTCACTGAAGACAATGATAGATGTGTTGCTTAACTTCGTGGTTTAGTTGAAGTTGGACATTAACACCATTGGATGCCGGTTCAGTGGTCTTACATTTAACTTAATTGAAGTGGAATTTTGACTATGTATTGTATGTATTGTATAATTCTTCAATGTTAAATAAATTAAATCATCAGTAGTATATTAGTCGTATATTAGTATCGATAACTGTTCCGTATCAATTTGTGTGTATGTGTATGTGCATGTTTGTATCAACCTAGTTATCGTTTACACCTTTTTTTCTATTGTAGTATTCTAACAACAAAACATATGAATCGAATAACTATGTCAATCTAAACACGATTGTATTTAGATTATGATTTACATGTATGAAATTTATGTTTTATCAATTTCATTAAAGGTCATTTTAGGTGAGGCAGAGTTTTGAAACTATTCTCATGATGATATATGTTAATGAATATATATATATGAGAAATAAACCCATTTCCACCTTTTATGCAACGGTACTGTGTATGTATGTATGTATGTGTGTGTGTGTTGTATACCCGTTTTGTTCACTACTGAAATCCTATTTTTTTTTCATGTCAACACTATTTGCTATTGCCATGCAATTGTGTTTATTATGTAAATGATATAAATTTATCTCATAGTTATTCTCATGTTTGTTTGTTTGTTTTTTCTCATTTGAATGATTAAATTTATACAATTGAAAATATGGTTGTTTGTTTCTGAAATGGTTTCTCTCTCTCTATTTGTCAATTGATTTTAATAAACTTCTTCAATTATGATAGTTTTCTTAATCTAATGCATTTTATGACAAAGATTCGTTTATAAAACATTTTAGCTGTTTAGGTTGTTTTTTTATTATTAATTTTTACAATTTAGATATTTCATTCTAATATTTAAAGTAGTCAGTCAGTCAACAACACAGAACGTCGTATGTACGTTTCATAAATATCGACATTTCATCATATTTGTGTGTAGGCTGTGATACTGGCCGGGTTCCCAGACCGAAGCAGGTAGTTTTATTAGGGGGCCACTCCCCGAGCCTTTGACCTGAAGGTCTGACCCACAAGGCAGTGGAGCATCGTGAGGAGATGCAGTCTCATGGTAGCAGGTGACTAACGATTGGTTCATACGCCATTTGTTCCTTCAGGATACTGGAGCCCATGTACACCGTTGATTTGGTTTGGAATCCGGTTAAAGTGCCGGATATTCGCTTTTCATCCTCTCATTTTCGTAAACAACAGTAGTGCCACGAGAAGGTGGTGAGTAGGACTTCCTTAACAGAGGCTATATACGCGTGGCCATGTGGGGGCATTTGGAGAGGGGAGGGCGGGCCAACCCCACTCTCGGTCATACCAGGGCATTTGAGGGTGGTACTAATATTTATGTGTTCAAATAAATAAATGTACGTACATCAGTTCGAGTTGCCATACAACATTAGCACACAGATACAATTGTCGATTCAAATCTCATAGTGGTAGAAGTAGTAAAATTATAAGTAGTAATCGGAAACATTAGGGTTTGAAGATGTTATTTAAAGAGCATAATCCAGTGAAATAAATTTGGAAAGAGAAAAAAGAAAGGAACATAAAGAATTCAGAAGATTAGAATTTGCGAGTAGTATTTACAACTGGATATAATCTTTTATTAGTATATAACTGAATATATTGGAGTAATCAGTATTGTTATAGTGACACTATTATCTAGAAAATGGGTTAATTAAGATAGAAATAGTGTTTTATTGACCTGTAGAACTGAATTTTAGTCACCTATGCATTATTTAATTGTGATCGGTCCTTTCTATTGCTATAAGGGCTTGTAAGTAATTGTTGAGCTTGCATAGTTTATATAATGGATTAATCGTAGTTAGACAACCACTGGAAACTATGAAGCTATTTCGTCCTAATATGAGACTTCAAGAATGTACATCTATGATCAGACCTAAAACCTACCGGTCTCACGGTGAGAACTTAACTTGTAGAGTGCTCAGTTGACATACAATGGCTTACATATCTAACTTCAATTAGTTCGCGATATTGTACAATCATATTTCATTGCTTGGAGTGGATATCATGTCTCACACCCAAAATGATCTTACTCCAGTAGTTATGGCTTCTCACTAGAATTCCTGGAATTATCTTTTGAAGTTAGTCACTAGTGAGTACATAATTATTATTACCTATGTTTAGGGTTTATGAAAATTGTTTAATTTTTTTAGTCTGCTCTCAAGTTAAGTGTTTCGTAAGCCAGGAGAAATTGTATTAATAATGATTATTAATTTTGTGTACTTATCTATTCTGTCTACATACAGATTTATAATGTAGCTTTTCAACGTTAATTAATAGGACTGTGTAAAGTATTTATTCACAAATCTTTGAAAATCTGTTTCATTATGTAATATGTGTCTTGGTAACGGTTGATTACTTTTTTTTTACTGTTTTAATGGAATACATAATCGCTCTGTTATTTTAGGGTTTACTCTAGGTGGTTATGTATCAGTAAACTTTTCTCCCTCCCCCCATATGTAGGCAAAAACCATATGTAAGTTGCAAATATTTGATCGAAGTTTTAGTATATTTGTATTATGGCTAGCAGTGAGATAAAAAACCCCCCCACCTATTTCACCCTATTTTGAACTCGTTATCTGAATCTACATACATCCTAGTGTTGATGTTCGTTATCCTGTACCTTTGCACAAGTTAATGCCTATCTGGACTCAGTAGCTAAGTAGATAACCCGATGGAGTTTGGAGAAAACTGTACTGAATTCGAATCCTAGAGTACATGTCGACCCTGGTATGCAGGTCCATCCAGCTGACGAGTCTCAAATAGGACGAAGCACACATATTGCAGGCCGCTGATAACCACATTCTACAAATATTATGTCTAAATCTCCATTACAGTTGATATTATTTAATCTCTTCTATGTGTCTATGCTATTGTTAAGTTATGTGGAATTAAACCTTTAAACACATTTGCATCAAGTGCTTTATTGTTTATAATTGATGAGAGATTTTCTTTATTTCAATTATTACCAATGTCTTGAAGAACAATAATTTACTCTCAATATAGACACTTATTTATCTACTAAATCTAAGTATAAAGTTATGTTAATGTACGTTGTCATATTTCTTTTTTATTATAAGAATAAAAAACACAATAACCAAATGATGATCATTTAAACATTGAGTTTCAGCACAAACTGATATGTGTGTATGTTTCATTGTATTAAAGAAAAAACTTCACAGAAATGCAAATCTGACTTACTTTTTTTAAGGAGTTCTTTCTCTAATGAGATTGTCACATATGTACTGGTAAGCGTTTTTTTAGCGAGTTAGTTTTCTACGGGATGGGGACGCTAACCCCATGCCCAACCATCCTCCTTTACCTGGGCTTGTTACCGGCAGTAACTCTAGAAAAGCTACAGGCGGAGTTAGATTGTCACATATAGTAAATAAAAGTTTAATTCACTTAGTCATAATCAACATAAAGCTTAGTACATATGGTTGTCAGATCAAGTTCCCATATCACATCGGCATGATAAGATCAAAATGAGAATAAGATAAAATAGCAAATGAATTGAAACAATAGTATTATCAATAGTTGTGAAAATGAACATATGGTTTTAAAAAATAAAGAATCAATTGGATGAAATAACATCGAAGCTGCAGGAGATCAGGAAAAAAAACACTCCAATATCCAAATGTCTCCAGTCGGTGATTGTGGTTATCGTGTGAATCTCAACACCTACGAACATAGTTCAGTAATAACAGTCATTGAATTCATAACCTGATGCCGTTTTTAGTCTGCCTGTTCTCTAGTTGTTTTTTGTTTTTTAAAAAACGTATTCCTATTCTAGCCAATATTGCACGTTGATGTGTAATGCATACAGCTATGAAAGCTTCATAATTAAACTTTCTATTTTTTTTTAAAAAAAAACATCATATTCCTAAATCTACTCATCAATTCTTGGATGTGATATGTTGAATTCTTCATTTTCTCATTTCTATTATACTTTCGATATTCTTGTTTATTTAATTTTTGTGAATTTAATATGTCAGTAATCACGTACAGTGATTACTATTAGTATTAGTTAAATGTCCGGCATTTTCAACGCGTTAGTGAACACGGAGAGTCCACCTAGAGGGGTGGTTGGAAAACCCTGACTCCAAACTAATGGTGCACATGGACTCCAGTATCCTAAAGGAACAAATGGCATATGAACTAATCGTTGCACTGCATCTCCTTACGTTGCTCCACTGTCATGTGGATCAGACCTTTAGGTCGAATGCTCAGGGTGTGACTCCCCCCCCAAAAAAACCACTTGCTTCGGTTTGGGCACCCGGACAGTACCCCAGCTTTCACACAAATCGAATGATTTATGTGACGCATTATCTATTCGGTACCTTCTTGTACCATTGTTTATGTGTTTAAATAATAAACTTCATTTTCCTTATTGCTATGATACCTTCAATATTCTTGTTGATTTAATGTTTGTGAATTGAATATGTCAATAATTATGCACAGTGATTACTATTAGTATTAGTTAAATGATCAAGTTTTGTTTTAAATACAAACATTGTTCGCGCGATTTCTCTCTCCCTCACACACACACACACACACACACAAATTATACTTTATTCAATAAGTCTTGTTAAAAGTAAACAATTTCCAATTGATTGATGGAATAATATGAAAAAAAGGGAAGGATTGGTTTACATGTAACTGTGTACGTATGTATGTTTGCATTTATAATGATATTGGTGAACTGTAACGAATTACATTAAGTAATGCCTGTTAATTCATTCAATTAAGCTGTCCATAAAATAATTTTTCAGGTGTCATTAATTTACATTGACCCCTATTAGGTAATTGAAGGTTGTCAGTAGGACACTCATGTATGATCTACTTTTTGTACTATTTCACCTGTAATCCCGAAAGGGCTAATACTTCCTAGTGGATTCAAACTCTATTTATCCAACTTCACAGTTCAAGTTGTTACCATTGTCCTATTCCTGCTACCAGCAGATGATGTGTCATTTATATTAGTGGCCACATGGCATCTTGATCGATAGAAAGAGTAGAGAAAAATAACTATAATCACTACTCAGTGACTAATCAATTATATGTTAATCCTGTTTCCTACTACTGTGTGCATCATAAGGAAATTCTCTTGAAGGAGTAACTATACAAAAGGATGGACAAAATAAGAAAATCATAATGTATGAAATAATATGATACATTTAGAAATTTAGGAAGAGATTAGAAATTAATGCACCTATTTCACGACAATAGATTTTGATCAATGACATATAACATTATTAAACATTGTTTACAATACTATCTCATTGAATTACACTAGTACATGTTAGTTGGTCGATGTAAGTTAAATCAACAGTTATTGACTTTATGGAGTAGTAATAAAGCATATTGATCAAACTGTTTCTGGACTTTTTTCCAACCTATTTTTATGCTACTTTTTAGATTAATTCCTCTCGGTCAACTGAGTATTTTAAGCAGGCCAAATCTCCTAGTAGTATTATGAATTTACTTGTATGCCAGAACACTAGTTGTGGGGAGAGTTTATTCTCAGTAATTAGTAAAATCCACAAGCGTACAGAAAGCAATCACACAGGGAAGAGTGTGTGTGTGTGTGTTGAGTGTTAATCGACTGTGGGTAAGTTATTGATTACCTGTGTTTACAACCAACTGGAGGATAGGTAAAGATTGGGGTGCAGACATTGATTTAATCAGACTCACACATACATTTATATGTTGGGTTAATTGTCGAAATTACAGCAGTTAGGTAATAAGAAATTCATACACTTGTTTAGATAACCTCGTTATCTGGCACACGTAGTACATACATTCTAACTATCTTAGTTTTATACGAATGTTCAGGTGAGTTTATGGACGAACTAATCAGGTCCAATATAGCGAGTCTCGGATTGTAGCACGAAATCCATTCATCTATATGATTAAATAGCATTTTAGCATTATAACTGATGTTGATTCGTGATGAAAAGACAAACTTTAACTCTAGATTCCTGTACTAAATTTTCACCTTAATATGTAACTCTTTTTTAGATCGTAGCAAATAAGATTTTCTCAATGTCACTTTGATGTTCATCGAATGGTCGTCCATAAATTATAGTCTCATCAATATTTAACCTGCCTATAATCAAATTTATCTCATTTTATTATCCCATCATTATGTATAGATTGCTACGTTTTGTTAATTTCTGTACAGATTAGTATTATATAACCAATAGTTTTATTTTCATCTGTTTATCTTCCCATTATATTTCTGTAGTTGCACATCACATGAGTGAATTGGTCAGTAATCCAAGTGAACGTGAACGTATTTTACCATTAGTAAGTTGTTGGTTTTCAAACACATAATTAGTGATCATAGTTTCATTTTTATTGTGTATCTTCAAAAAGAAAAGATCAGAAACCCACCTGCTTCGGTTTGAGCACCCGGACAGTATCACAGCCTTCACACATATCAAATGAGATTTGTGTGGCGCATATGTATTTGGTGTCTCCTTGTACCAATATCTATGTGTTAAAATAAAATAAAAACATGTACGCTATTCATTCATATTTCAAAACTTATACAGTAATATGCCTCAAATACCAGACTATACTCCAACAACTTGTAAAACATCACAATATATACACAACTCAGTGATAAATATTACAACAACCAAGCAGTGATGAATTAAATAATTGATAATTAATCTAGAATAGTAAAACATATAACAATAGCTTGTAAGTCAAATGAACGCTTACAAGTAAGAGAATATTAAAACATGATAATACAAGGATCTAATGATAATATGATAAATATCTATTATATTTATTTTATTATTTGAACACATGAATATTGGTACAAGAGAGCGCCAATATATATGCGCCACACAAAACAATGAAAATTCGAAGAGAAGTAGAAAAAAAACTAAGGAGCGCAAAAGAAAAAGAGGACAATGACGAAGAGATTGGAGTAAAGTAGTGTGGTAGTAACGACGGAACGAAAAGGTACAATCAGAAGAAATCTTTCAGGTAAAGGAGACACAACCACTTTTTATGAAGAAAGTAAAAGAAGGTTACAGCAGGATCGCCGCTGGCTTCTATTCTGAACCATATCTGATAACGTCTCTAGCCACTGTGTAGCACCATCTCTCGGACCCCAACCAGGGAGTCGTGAAGGACCAACACAAGCCAGTCCTTTGCAGCTTTCTTTCATGCCACGACACCATGTCATGCACTGACCACCTCTCCGCTTCTTCCAACCAGTCCCAGAGTCGACAAATAATGCACGAGGTGGAATTCTCGGGGACGACATTCGTAGAACATGTCCAAGCCACCCAAGTTGGTGTTTCAAGGTGGTGACACCAATTGAATTATCATCTCTGTGCCCGAACACACGATGCCGAACCTCTGCATTACTGACATGGTGTTGCCACAGAATGTCAGCAATCCTTCGGAGACAGCGATGATCGAACACAGAGAGTCGTCTAACATCCTCAACTCGGAGAGACCAGGTTTCACAAGCATAGAGCAAAACTGCTCTCACCGACGCGTTGTAGATCCGGCCTTTTACAGCCAGACTAACATCACGAAGGCGCCAAAGGTGGCCCAGATTGGCATAGGCCGCTCTGGCTTTCACTATTCGTGCATTGATCTCATCACTCACACCCCCGCCAGCACTTATGCAGCTACCCAGATACACGAACTTCTCAACTACGTCTATCTGCTCACCATCCAGGGTGAGTACAGGATTAGAATCCTGCCAGTCTTGTAGAAGTACTTTGCACTTCGAAGGTGCAAAGCACATACCATACCTACGGACACTGATTGCCAACTGATTAAGTGCGGATTGCATGCCTTGGGCATTATCGCACAGTAAGACAATATCGTCCGCATACTCAAGGTCGAGAAGTCTTTCTCCAGGCAACAGATCCACACCACCATTACTTACATTCATCAGAGCTGTTTCCAGAATGTCATCGATGGCAAAGTTGAAGAGGAATGGTGAGATTGGGCAACCCTGCCTAACCCCACTGCTCGAATGGAACAATGGAGAGAGGTGGTTGTATGCCCTCACTCTGCCTGAGGTGTTTTTATATAGGGCTTTTAGGATGTTAATAAACTTCTCAGGCAAACCATTCTTCAATAGACAATCCCAGAGAACAGTCCTATCCAACGAATCGAAGGCAGCCCTGATGTCAAGAAACACTACGATTGCTGGCCTTTGAAAAGTATGGCGGTGTTCTAACATATCTAGACAATAACTTTCATGACCTTCTTAAATTTTCTTCTATATAACTTGATTACATGTATATTGCTACATGTTTTGAACTGTCGATTAGTTAAATTTGATTTTCATGACTCTTAGATAATTAATATCAGAAGGAATTTTGTGGATATTATAGTAATTTCAATAGTTGAGATCATGAGTCAGTTGAAGCTAGACCACAATGGAAAACCTGGAAGCAATGGATGGCCGTTTCGTCCTATTGTAGGACTCCTCAGCAGTGCGCATCCACCGTCTCGTCCCCTGCGAGATTCCAACCCAGGAATTATCAGACTCGCACGCGAGCGCTTAGATAATTATCAGTATATTGTATATGAGGGTAGTTTTTCTTAGTACTAGATAATTAGATGAGTTGGACTTAGAACTAGATCAATATAATATGATATTTGTTCACAAGGTACATTCACGCATGAATATTCGACGACTGATTAAGAGCGAGATATAAGCTACAGTAATAATATTTTATCACACAATACAAGACGGTCAGTAAGTGAAGTGAAAATGAAATCGGTTTTACATACAAGTTAATTTCTTATTATTCTATGTGACCAGATATATCTTTCTTTACTCATCAGCTAGTCACAAATTACTTTAACCGACCTATCAAGTACCCACAATCTTGAAGGCATTAATATTTCCTGTATGGTTAAAATCCGTATCACCTATCCTCACAATCTGAGATCTTACCTCTAAGCTTTTTGAGCCACAATTGATTTGTAGTAGGGCTGAGATGTTATCTACCAAATATCTACAATGATCTAGTACAAACATAATGTTTAGCCACTTAGATTAGTAGCCACATTGCAACTTGATCATTAAAATTCGATCAGCACCAAAAAGGATGATACGAAAACAACACTAGTCCTTATTCAGTTATAAATCAACCGAGCTTTTAGCAATATGACTCATTTAATAACTACAAGTTTTTGTTATAATGGGTAATGTCCGAAATCTGATACTGAATACACAACGTGCTACGCGCTAACCCTTCCAACTCACTAGTTGAGCGCGAATACAAGAATGGACGAGAAAGTATTTTGGGGTATGGAATAAAATACATAAATACTCATATATATATACCCTTTGGGAAGTCAATTCATTTCTTAGCTAATGATATGCACTTGTCCTTCAAGTTACTTCTAATTGACATTTTCATTTAGCTACCATTGACTCGTTTACCGTATAATTTTGTATAGTTGATCTTAAGCCACACGTTTTGTAGATTTACGGCTAACTATATTACCTATATGTAGCTTTCAAAAATCCTTATTATTTGTAGACTATCATCGAGAGGCTAATTAGTTTGAAATCGCTAACAAGATATATTTTCCACTCTTAATGGAATTAATGCTCATGATGACAAGATTTGAGCCTACATTACCTAGTACCATTGTTACATACATTACTCGTAAAGTATTCTGTTAATTTAAGGTATCATTATAATATAGTAAATAGTATTTAATATCAGATGGGTTTTGTGGATATTATAGTAGTGGTTAAGTGCTCACGCGTGAAACCAGTAGGTCCTGGACTCGAATCTCTCAGGGGGCGAGGTCGTGGATGCGCACTGCTGAAGAGTCCCACAATAGGATGAAACGGCCGTCCTGTGCTTACAGGTTTTCTATGGTGGTCTAGCTTCAACTGACTCATTATCTTAACCATTGAAATAGTATTTACTCAATATAGATAAATAGAGATATAGTTATTTGTTATTGACTTATAAAATTCCAGACAATATGTATCACTTACAATCTACTTCAAAGTGGATTTCCAAAAAGCAAACAAACAAACAAGAATGGAGTTTCGTTTTTCTTTCAAAAAAATTTTTGTATAAAAACATAGAGATTACTTGCTTAAACAATTCAGTAATAAGTACACTTATTAGTATCAATATTTATATTATATATCATACTACATATATATAAATATAGTTGTAATAATATATCCATTTCATTGATTGATCACACTGATTAGTAACCAAGTTCTAATCAGGTTTAGTTTTCAAAGAATTCTATCGATCAAGTTTCTATAATGATCATTAATTTAAGAGATTATATACCATGCATACAATGCTTTGATATTAGATGATTGTCAGAAAAAAACAAAACAAATAACTGTAGTTGGTTTTCGTGATATTTTCTAGTTGTCAAGATGATGTATGTGTAATGTTTTAGAGAACTTTGAAAGAAGGCAAATCTACGTCATTCAGCTTTTTAGTTTGAGAGACGCTTTATAGTAAGATGCTCGATAATTAGTGTGTGTAAAAATAGCACGGATTCGAAAAGCTCGTTTAGCTTTCGCCAACTGAAGTCATCTATGGTGAAGGAGAGATATCCGTCTATCAATAAAAGGATGAGTATACTGCGTGGCATTTCGTTCTGTTCTGCTTCACGGCTGTGAAACGTGGCCATCAAGGGTAAAGGATACGCGTAAGCTACTAGTGTTTGGTCACAGATGTCTTAGAAATATTGCTGGCGTCTGCTGGAATCACCGGGTAAGTAATAGTGAGGTTAGACGCAGGGTATTAGGGAATGATGGTAAATTGGTTGATGAGGTTATGAATCTTCATCGACTGAGATGGTTGGACCACGTGTGACATATGCTTGAACACCGATTACCACGACGTGCAATGCTAACGGGGGTTAGAGATGGTTGGAAGAGAATTAGGGGCGGCCAAACCAAAACGTGGCATCAGTGCTTGAAGACACTAACCTCTAGTCTGAGCCATGTTGGTAGATGCACACTACTTGGTTGGGGTCCGCGTGACTGTCGTAACCGATGGTTGGAGACTGTAGGTGACATGGCTCAGAATCGGTCACAATGGCGTCGGTGTATACACTCTCTATCTTCTCTTAAACTAAGAGATTAAAATTGATTCATATCTTTCTTTCTACGAACTAATTCTTCCTACCTGTACTATATCCTTATTGCGATCTTTCTTTTATATATTACCACCTCTGAATTAACTACTTATATGAATCCGGTGTCCATCTTGTCTTGTTAATGAGGTATGGCAACTTGGACCGATGCATATATGTGCCTGGTCCTACGTTGTAGCTGACTGACTGACTGAGTGTGTAAATATATCAGTCCTAGATGAATACCATCTATCAGCACAACAATCAATTAAACCGATGTTAGATCTTAGATTTTCCACTCTTAACACATTGTTTAACCTCTCTCTTATTGTGGATGTCGAGGTAGTTGAACTTACTAAACCCATATTTCAACTGTCATTTAATGATGATCCATAAACTCAATATCTAAATTCCAACCTTACTCAAATACCGTTACTCAACATCAGTATTATTTATTACATTGATTCTTGTGTGCACCAGCAATACTTCAAAGATTGGTAGGGTTTTTTCGAAATCGTTAATTGTAATAGAACAAACTCATATACATATATGACATCACCTTTTCGATTGAGAAATTTACATCTCACCCATATCATCGTTTAACATCATGTAAGTTGAACAAACTTTATGAACTTACGTTAAAGTTACTTCAGTGATCATGTTCTTTCCTTATTATTTTATTGATTTTAGAATTCTCAACCAGCTGCTGGTCAAGTTCCAATTGAATCTGAATTACATGGTTATGCAAAAGTACTTATTCGAGTAATTAGTACACCGACAACCACATGAAAACCATTATTATTACACAGAATAATGATGATTACTAAACAATCGGCATTTTACAAGTTTATTCATAGAAATGATCTGTCTATTTATGTATTCCTTTACCAAATGATGAATAGCTCCCATACTACTACTAATAGTACGAAAAACTGTTCTGTTACTCGCTATATTATTTCGTGTGTGTGTATGTGTATGTGTTTTACACTACACACTAATAAAAAGATTTCAGAGAAATAAAAAGCCATGTTTTCTTTTTGTTACAGTCCTTCTCATTCATTTGTTTCCAATTCACTTCTTAAGTATCGTTATCTACCCTTCTCTCTTACTATTCATAATAATCATTATCATTACTCAATCACTGGCATTATTTCAGTTTGATTGTTACTTATATAAGTAAATATGCTTAGTGAGAATTAGATACGATTATGTATGCATATTGATGGATAACTCAACTGACTGCTTTAAATTCTATGGTGTATATTATATTAAAATGTATGTGTTTGTTGTTTATGCTTGTCTTAACAAGTGTGTCTTCCTTCTTATAAACAATTAATGATATGTATGTTCAGTATAGAAATACATAATCTTTTTTTTTTTTGAGGGGGGGAGGAGGGAAAGGGAACATCAATTGTATACTAGACAGTATAAGATATTATTTTTTATATCCATAATTTAGTTTGTGTTTATTTCATTACTATTGTTACCTTAATTCTTCTTTTTTTTTTTTTAAAAAAAAAAAACTGACTACATTATGAATCTACTTTTAAATTGTTGATATGCCGTTTATGTTCTCTGTCAATTTTTCATAAATTTAATGAACAATCAATCCATAATCAGATAGTCTGTTGTTCACTTTTCTCTTCATCTTGCATATATATTTATACATATATCACAATGAAACTTCTACTGTGTAATTGCTGTAATGACCATCTAATCTTTCTGAAAGTCGCATGTTAGGAAAAACACAATTCTTGTGCTACGTCGCAACATTGGGAATCGAAATAAGTTGATGACAGTGGTGTGTATATGTGTGCATGTCAGCCATAATTCTTTTCTTGTTTGTTTGTTCTTTTTTTCTTTTTCAACATACAACGTAGTTAAACTGTTCTACATTTTTACACTTGCTTCTTCTGTCTTATTTCTTTCGGACAGCTTTTATTTTGCATAATGACTTTCAGCAACAACAAAAAAAACTATGTATTATCCCTTTTAATAAAATTTTGTTGAGTCAAATTGGTTCTTGCTCATATTATTAGTGCTGAATTTTTTTAATTATTTTAAAGTAGCATGTCAAGCTTAGGTAAAATCTATTTTCGTGAATGTTCGGCGCTTTAACCAAGAAAACCGTGATTTCCAACCAATGGTGCACATGGGCTTCAGTATCCTGAAGGAACAAATGGCATATGAAACAATCGTTGGTCACCAGCTACCATGGGACTGAATCTCCTAACATTGTTCCACCGCGTTGTGGACTAAACCTTTAGATGAAAGGCTCCGGGTGTGGCCTCCTAAGAAAACCACTTGCTTCGGTTTGGGCACCCGGGCAGTATCACAGCCCTCACACAAATCAAATGAGATTTGTGTGGCGCATATGTATCTGGTGCCCCCTTGTACCAATATTTATATGTTCAACTCATTGAAACTAAAAATTTTCTAGTATGAATCTAACCTATCTATGTGTTGTCTATAATTCTCCATCGACTTCCCACAATAGGCTAATAGTCTAGGAAATTTAACTAATAAATTCACTGAAAAGTTAAACATTTCATATTCTACCAAACAATCGAGTTTAAGAGTACAACAAATCCAGATTACACTGGTATTCAAACACCAAGAACGATAAGGAAGAAAATTATACTTGTTAAATGGAAAATAGAGGGATTCCAATGTTTAAGAAGATCTTACACCTAACACTCATTTCTTTTTTTATTCAGTCGTGACTTTCACATTTGGGTGTCATTTTCATTCATAGTTCTTGAGTTATTAGATACCTTTTGGAACAAATGTATCGGTGTAACACGGCTGAGCATACAGAAAATATACAGTGAAATTAGGGCTTGAAATGTTATTTAAACTTATATGTAGTGGAAAAGTGCTGTACTTGATACTTGTTGCATTGGAAACGTTGCGGATGAACTTGTAAATACACTTCAGACATACTATAAACTAAGATTTGTAGTCTTTTTGTTTCCAATAAGGTGTTCATATATCTACAGATATCTGTGTTACAAGTAAGATACGTCGTTGTGTTGTTGGTAGATAGTCAATGTATATCGAAATATGTGATCAGTTGTTAAGCTCATTATTAATAAAACCTACCGAATCTTCATCATTTTAATAGGTAGTTTACATAATATTCGCCATATTCAAATAGGTTTTGTTAAATGTAGAAGAATATTGAGTTGACTTTAAACGAAAAGAATGAAGAAAAGGCACATGAAATATGTAAAGAATTTAATAAATGGTATTATATGTACCAAAAAAATAATAAATAATGTAGACTCCAAACTACGGTTTGGATAGATGAATAGCCGTCCAGGTACATTAGACACGCTCCATTGCCCGTCGAAATCAAAACAAGTAATCGGGCAAATAGCGGTTCTATAATTCATCATAAATCTGTATGTAACTCGTTACCTAAACAAATATTACCACCCGGCTATTCAACCAATAATTCTTCAATCAATTAAATCTAAATTACAATAATAAAGTTGGCAAAAGATGACGGAAAATTACCAGTCACAACAAATGAACGTTATTCTATCCTGACTGGACAGAACACACACAAAAGGAGGAGTAAATCAATATGGCTACCGCCAAGAACAAGTGTCCAGTAAAGCAACACAGATGCAGTTCGGGAAGAAACACAAAACTTAGTGAAGGCGAAAGAAAAACAAAAACTATAATAAAAAATACAAGTTTGTAGCGTGGCGTCGAGTTGAGATAACTATGAACACGCTACCAAGAAACACGTGCCAATTAGATCAGAAGGCGTAAGAAGCTCGTTCCAAATGACTCCATAAAATCCCCGAGAAGCCGAATACCAGAAGGCAATTAATGGACCAAGTCGATGTTTATTTGCTGGCGATCTCGTGGCATCGAAAGGATACCGAGATCGTGCCAGGATACAAGCTTGGTTACAGAACGTAACCGAATTCGCGCGAAGTTACAATCGAAGTGTGTGCGAAAGAATGGAAGCAGAAAATAGCTGTCATTAGCACAGTCAAACAAAAGCACATTAAAACAGTCACTGGTAAAATTGGTTATAATAATAATTGTTTTTATTAAACCAGTCGTGTTCTCGTGATAAACGTGAGTCACTACAGGAGCCCCCCGCTAGAAAGGGTTTACACTTTCGATAAACAGCGGTTTGAATCGTGGGACTGATCAGCTGACGAGCGATTGTAGGACGGAAGAATTGGCGAACAGGAAAGCGATCGTTGATCGTCGAGTTGCCAACGAAGGTCGTTTTCGGAGAACAGTACCAGGAGCGATGTGTTGTATTTATTGCTCGAATTGGCATGCTACACCAGAGTGGTTTGTATCCAGAATCTGAAGAGGGCGTTCGTAGATGTGCGCACCAGAAACGCTGCAGACGTAGGACGAAACCACGTTGAGCCAAAAGACCAGAAGCGACCGTAACGACCAAGTTCGAGACCAAGCGTATGCCAAGCATTCGAAACCAATATATCGACTGAGTGCGTTGACAAGAGCATGGGTGGCCAATCCAGCTTTCGCCAAAGTTGACTGAAGTCGACGGAACCAAACGGAGATGGTCGAAGGCGTGGGCTCAGGAAACAAAAAAAAAGAAGAGTGTAGCATACGTGTAGTATAGGAATAATCCTACACCGTATCGGTTGTTGACTGTGCGACTATTCGCGGAAGCGTACGGGTAACCGTACTCGGCGACCGGAACGTGAGACGGCAGTCTCGTTCGTATCGCGTGAGCCTGCAATCTCATCCGAAGTCAAAGGCGGTGTGGTCTGCTGATCTGGACGTGAGACTGTCGACTCATCCGTAGACGGTGCAGATGACGCGTGCTGTTGACTGAGACGTGAGAATGAGGTCCCAGATGTATCTAGCGTGGGACCTGAAGATGATTTGAGGATCCCGCTAGTAGGTTCGATAGGTCTAGCATTGAATCTCAGGTTGTCAGATAGGGCACTGTCATCGACGTGTGCTGGTTTGAGACGATCAATGCTGACGATCTCGACGCGTCCATATCGATCAACCTTGAAGGTCTTTTCGTGACGAGCGATCACGTGAAAAGGGCCTTCGTAAGGTTGTTGCCAAGGTTTGCGTACCGAATCTACTCGTACAAGACATGTGAACAGGTAGATAACTCTCGAGGGAGAGCGACCTGTCGATGTTGCATTCGAGTTGACACCAGAGACAGCGTTCGCATAAATGCAGACAGTCGATGGACGTAGTCTGATTTACCGAAATTAGGTCTGCTCCGTGGTGTGAAGAATTCTCCGGGCAGACGCAATGTCGTGCCGTATACAAGTTCAGTGGCGGAACATTGGATATCTGCCTTTAAGCTCGTTCTCGCCCCTAAAAGAACGAGCGGTAAGGTTTCGTGCCAGTTGCCGTTTTCGTGTGCTCGTAGAACACTTTTAAGTTGGCAGTGAAACCGTTCAACTTAACCATTTGGTGCTGGGTGGTAGACGGAGATGCTTATGCGTATGCATTCCGTACCAAGCAGCCGGGTCAGCGAGGAGAATCGTTAATAGGGTAACATTTCTCGAATGAAGCGTGGAATTCATCATCACGCGAATAAAAAGTGACAAGGATTCGGTACACATATTATATTAATACTATTCTTATCGTTATCCGTCATGTCGCGTATATTATATATTAAAAATATGAAAATATACGACAGACGTGGATAGATAAATCATAGACTCACCGAATTGGCTTCTTTGGAAGATTTGACCAGAAGTTGAATCGTGTTCCAAAATACGGCTCACCAATTGTAGCGAATTGGGATTACCAATTGTAGCGTGGCGTCGAGTTGAGATTAACTGTGAACACCGCTACCAGGAAACACGTGCCAGATAAATCAGAAGGCGAGGGTTGGACGTAACCAAATAAATCCATAAAATCCCCGAGAAGCCGAATACCAGAAGGCAATTAATGGACCAAGTCGATGTTTATTTGCTGGCGATCTCGTGGCATCGAAAGGATACCGAGATCGTGCCAGGATACAAGCTTGGTTACAGAACGTAACCGAATTCGCGCGAAGTTACAATCGAAGTGTGTGCGAAAGAATGGAAGCAGAAAATAGCTGTCATTAGCACAGTCAAACATTAAAACAGTCACTGGTAAAATTGGTTATAATAATAATTGTTTTTATTAAACCAGTCGTGTTCTCGTGATAAACGTGAGTCACTACACAAGTATTAACAATTCAAATGTAATCAAAAGACAACAATGTACAACCAAGGGGATCAATAGGAACGAAGTGCAAGTATATACATGGAGGGATTTTCACAAACACACAAAACATTCAAAATGAATCTTACAATAAACATTAATGCAGTAAGATTTGACGGTACAATACAAGTTTGTCCAGCATTAGTTTAAAATGATGCGAGAATAATTACTTCCTTACACTTTTTACTCCTCGTGAAGGAGCATAAGCAGCCCAACAGCCTTCTCCATCCAATCCAGTATTGGGCAATCCTTTCCAGCTCCTCCAGTTGCTATTCATCTTTTTCTTGATGTAGTGTGTTCTTTGGCCTTCCTCTTTTCCGCTTCCCTTCAGTATTCCAAGTCAGGGATTGCATCGTGATGCAGTTTGATTATTGCCGTAATGCATGTTCTATCCATTTCCATCGTCTTTTCCTAATCTCCCCTTCAGCTGGAAGTTGGTTTGTTGTCTCCCACAGAAGGCGAGAATAATTGTGAAATATCAATTTGTACAGGTTATATATACGTGGTGAAGTTAAAATGAATTTTGAAAAGTCAATATATCGAAATGCAATACCAGGGTACTGCGTCATAGTCACAAACTTCGAATGATGGAGAATAATATTTATTTAGAAAGAAACGAGAGTGAGAGAGAGAAAAGAAAGAAGCAACTAAAGTGACAGATGATCAATCATGATAATGGGGGTATATTTAATATCGACCACTTAAGCAAGACATTAGTTTTCTAATTTACGTAAACGGGTGAATGTAAGTAAATCGATGTAATACGATTTAAAGTAAAACTTGACATTAGTAT